ATTCTGTCCACAAAGTAGGAGTCCAAATATCCATTATGTCCTGCTTGTTAACTGTTATTTTAAACCTTTTCTAACAGGTTCAAGTTCACAGCTGTAGCAGAACCTCAGAAAACCATGGGCAAAACTGGTTTTACAAAGTAATAATGAAGGTTACTTTGATTAATGTGTAACTACAGACAACCCCGGCAGTCAGTTACAAAAGCACCTTTGCCAAATATGGCTGACAAGGAGCAAGAAATAAATGTAGCCTTGTTTACAGTAAACTGCAAGGGCAAACATGTCTGGAAAGTGAGCTTCTTCTCTTTCTTGTTTTTTAAAAGATTGAAAAACAAATAATAGAAATACTTTTGCCAATTTAAAGTTCTGACTGGCCCAAAATAAAAAATGAAAACATCGATTAAATGCAGAACAGCAATAACATGGTCTCTCTCTTTAGACTGAAATTAGAGTATTTATCGAAGCTTAAGTTAGTGTTTAATTAATTCAGAACTCAGGAAGTTTGCCGAACATATTCTCATTGTTTTAACAGAAACTACAACAGGGAAGTGAACAAATACTAAAGATCTGGTGTGACAAAGTAATCACGAGTCAGTATCGTAGGTTTGAAAAAACAAAGGTTTCATTCTGCATAAAAGTTTCCCCGATGAAAGAATATACAAACCTATTGTACATTATAACAAGTTAGATTACAGCTCCTTTTGTACAAGTCCATACATACATCTTCCTCTTATCTCTTGCGGTCTGTACATCTTTGTTACAAAAAATACATGCCATTTTTAAGTATCTATGGGCATAGAGAGAAGAAATGTTTAATTTAAGGTAAAGATCATCTTAACAACAGAGCCCGACTGTACTAAGTAACTTGAGGATTTGCACTTTGTAGCAGAGACGCCAGCTTCATCTGCCAGAAACAGAAAATGCACTCAATCGGATCAAGACTCAAATCAAAACGCAGACAAGATGACTCAGTTCCGTGAGCAAAATAAATGATGTCCGATCAAAGAAAATTACAATACTGAACTTCATAAATGAGCGGGTATATTTATATATGCGTACACGTGTGGAGAGAGAAGTGCTCAGTGGCGTCTCATTTTGACTTTGCGTCCTGAACTCTCTCTGTGTTTGTCAGAGTCTTGACCCCCACGTCTCCAGTAGTTCTCTGAGCTGATGCTGTGACGGCGTTGGCGGGAGTTGGACGGGTGTCGGTTCTCCTCTTTGTCCATCTCGAGAACTCTTGGCCTGGTGCAGGAAGAAGATTCAGACATCGGGAGTCAGATTTGGATCATTATTTACAACATCCTGCACTGCTTCATTACAAACGCCTGATGACAAATAACATTATGGTTTTTGCCTTTTACTTGATCATAATACTCAAAGTATAATGTACTAACTTTTCTTCCCAGTGTCATCTATCGCAATGTTTCTTTTCATCTAAATCCTAATCTAATTTACATTCACCATATACTTGATGTTTTTATTTTTCACTTGTATTAGACGTTCTTTTGTTTCAATTATATTTTCTGCTTTAACTTTGGAGCAATCTGACACCAAAACTTCCATCAGGATTAACAAAGTTTTATTTTATCTTTTGCTAAACTTGAATAATTTCAGGCATCTTTGCTTCGTCTTTGACAGTAATCGAATGTATTTGTTTTACAGTCAAATGCAAGACATTAAGGAAATCATCATGAGCTTTGGGAGACACTATCAACTTCTTTTTTTTTTTTTTTTGTCAATCAAACAACTACCGGTGATCAATTAATCAGGAACATAATCATTAGTTACAGCCCTAAAACCAAGCGAGAGCTGTGATTCAGCGATGTTAAATAAGAAAGACTGTCTTGTGTCCTATTCTCAGGCTGCTTTAAAGATGGATTTTAAATAATGGTAATCTTTAAAGTCTTAATTAATGACTCAAGTCAGCACAGGGGACGCTCGCCCCTGCTTCTCACAGTGAATCCCCCGATACATTTTTCAACATCCCATTCATCATTAACTGTGATTAAGAGAGAAAATGTTGATGTCTGCTTCATAAAGTCTGACATGCAAAACCATTGACTGACAGATCTGATATAACTGTGAGCTCAGCTTACACACAGAGACACACACACACACACAGAAGGTGATCTGAATATTACTTTGGATAGACAAGCTCACTTGATCTGAGAAGATTTATCCCAACATCTTCAAATGGTTTCTTTCACCGTGTTTTACAGTTTGTTACACTGATTTTGGCGTTAAGAGATGACGTTCGACATAAATTCAATACAACTACCTCATAAGCAGTCAGGATGCACATTTCTCTTGGTTCATGTTTTATGTTGCTGTGCAGCCGTTACATTAAAATGAGTGCATTCAATTTAGACTTTTGACATGTTCTGACCCTCTGCATACCTGCACTGTGTGTGCAGGTGTTTACCTGTGAGCAGCATCAGGGTCTGCTCTGCGAGTGCGTTTGGCTTTCAGAGGAGCAGGTCTCTCTACAGGAGATGAGCTTAACGGGCTGTCAGAGTCCACTCGAGGGGCATCAGGTCTAGTCCTGAGAAACATAGAACAAAAAAAATGAATCAGAATGAGATTGGGAAAAAACGAAGAAACACTTTTCACGACAGTACTTGGGACCTACTTTCTCAGAATGATAACGGCACGCCGCTCCTTGATGTCTTGTGGTCGGATGCAATGAGTGATGTCATCGGCAGCGTAACCACTGAGGAAGAAAGACAACGAGTTACGTTCTCGGACGCCACACACTTGACAGCATTTCAACACGTGCATGACAGTAAACAAAAAGGCCATAACCACCTGAGCACCGTGACGCTCCCTCTCCTCACGGGCAGGACAAACACAGGCTCGGACACTCGGATCGGCTTGAACTGGAAGCGGCAGCCGAAGCAGAGCGCGCTGTCACTGAAGAAGGACACCGACACGATGGGACGTGCGAATATGTGCAGAGGATCCACATGTGACACGATGCAGCCACCTGGTTGATAATCATTAATGACCGCGCTGTTGACAAAACCTTCCGGGATCACTCCACTGGACACCAGGCGCTTAATCACCAGCTCATGCACCCAGTCCGGGATGTCATCCACTTCCCCTTTACGGTACAGCCTCTCTTGGCCGGGTCCACGCTTCTCCAACTGGGACCCGTACGTGTACCCCTCCCCGAAGAAATACTTGTTCCGGAGGGGGGCCCTGTCCACGGTGTGCTCCCGGTAAAGTCCGGCCTCTCCTTTGGCCACCACGTCGTCGATCTTCTCCTCGATGAGGGCGCACTCCTCCGGGGTGAAGGTGTTCTTCTGCAGGATGCTGCTCCTCACCCGGCGGGCCTCCTGCTCCCGGATGTCCGCGCTGTCATCGCTGTGCTCGTAATCGTCGTCGTCGGATTCTCGGCTCTTACGCTTTTTACCCTTTTCACCGCCGTTACTCGTACCGTCCGCGTACTTGTTTTTCTTCTCGTCTCCGTGTGGCGTCATGGACTTCAACTTCTCTCTTAAGTCGGAGTATCCGCTGGTTGCCATGTCAGCCCCCCCCCCAAAAAAATAAAAAAAATAAACAAGCGTTTCTGCTTTAATGCGATGAAGCTCCTAGCTGACACTTAGCATTTCAGCACATTTTGTAACGGGGTTAATGACAATCTTGTAGTGTAACAGGGGGAATCATAGATCGTAGATGTCCGCCTGTATAACACAGCACTCACTCTTCACTTTCTGCGGTGTCCAGGATAACACACGTAGCTAACATTAGCTGAGAAGCTCCGCTGTTGTAGCTAGCGTTAGCCTGGCTTGGTCCGCCGCCGCTTTGCAAATGCCGACAAAACACGCAGCAACATTTCACATGTCACCGCTAAACTCCAACCCAGGGTGCTCCTGGGAAGGTCGCATTCAATTTCTCGAGTCCAAGAATCGACATGTTTTTTGTTTTTTTTTATATCCACACAAGGTTCAGCCAAAGTGAGTTTACGCGATCATAACGCGTCTTCAAGAGGAGAGGCTGAAAATAAACTCGTGTAGCCTTGCTGGAGCTTCGCGCATGCTCAGTGGGGGGGGGGACCTGCCGTGTTTGAGGAGAAATGGTCACGTGATCCTGAGCGGAAGGTACATAAATCCATTTTTGGAGTTTGGAGCTTCTGTCATCCGTGGCTTCAGACGAATGCTAATTTTATCTCACTTACCTCTTTAAAATGTGCACATGGTGTACACATTAATGCATATTGAAACATGCGGTGGTGGCTTTTTTTTTTCATGCGTTAACTAGACCTATACAATTCTCTGTATTCAGAGATAAAAAAATAAACATTTTTTGATTAAGATTGTCATTCTATTTTCAGTCCAATATAATTAATGATTGAATACATTTGGCTTTTAGACTGTTGGAAAAAAAACAATTATTTTAAAAACAATGCTTTGAGCCCTGTGGATTTGTCAAAACCATGTTTTAGGCCTATTTACTATTTATGAAACTACAGACCATGACCACTAAAATACATAAATCAAGGAATTCATTCTCGAAATTAATGAATAAAAAATGGATTGTAATTTTGTGAAACCACATTAAATATTCAAAATAAATAATTAACAAATAAAAACAAAATCCAGAACCTTCCGTTGAAATAGAAAAACAGTCTTCTGACCTGACAAGGACTTCTTAAATACTTCGTTTCCAACAACAGAATTGGGAAGAAACTTGCAGATTATCTTCATTTTAAACAACATTTCCTAAGTATTTTATGTCACAGACTTACAGACTTAGCAATACATTGTGAAATAAAATTAAAAAATCCTATTTATTTTTTTCTCAAGGGCTTTGCTGAAAAATGTTGTTTTGCCATTTCATACTGATATGTTGTTTAATAATTTATCAAAACAGGAATGCGGAGATGTCTCCTCTTAAAATTGCTTGCAAAATTTATTTTGACAAAATATTCTTTACAAAATAATGAAGCATTAACACATGTTACACAAACATTTAGTTTTATAGAGAAAAGTGTCAGTAAAAAAAATAGAAACATGTTTCATATCAATATACTCTTTTAACCCTGAAGGCACAGGCCGATGAAGCTTACTCGCAGCTCATCTTTACACCTGTGCAGAAACAAAATCTTACATTTTCAATGACTCAAAACTACAGCAGTAAGTGCCAACCTGAAATAAACATTAAATTATAATGTCTTCTCATGTTCAGATGAAGAAGTATAATCATCAAGAGTAGACTTTACATTCACATTTGAGTTTATGTGTGACACACAAACACCTGAAGACAAGAAGAGGTAGGACATTTTAAGGGATTTGTCTGACGTATTTGAGTGTGTAGGCAGGTGTTAAAGCATGGTGATTTCACTGGGTGGCAGGGTGAGCCTCTTCTCCCGCACAGATATCATGTTTTCCACCTGCATGGCGATGACTCGACACAATTCCAGGCCCTAAAGACAAACATGGCTGATGTTAATAAAGAGACCGAAAATAAAAGAACAATTGTATATGGCCTCTGAAGAAAGTCCTTGTCTGGGTTTTTGAAGTACCTGCTCTAGCTGCAGTTGAATGACCCGCTGTGTGCTCATGTCTCCCACCGTTAGGTCTACATATGGGTAACTGGTTCCAGCAGTGGGCCTCTGGGTGCGGCTGGACTGCACCTCCACTAGGGGGACCACTCCCATAGGCTCCTGTACCATAGAGACCAAACATTATAACACATAACTATCTAATGGAACTATGTTACCCTGCGTCTAGGCTTATGTTTCAGTCACGATGGGATGAGTCATATCAGAGCTTCATCATCGTGACTCTTTATGTTTGTGTGTGTGTTTCTGTGTGTGTAGGTCCTTACGTGTGTATTTTTGTGGAGGAAGTGGAGACCATGTTGATTGACGGCAACAATACAGGGGGCGTAGAAAGTGGTGGAGCTGCTGCTGTGGATGAAGAAGAACGAGGAACCGAACATGGGGAACGCACTGACCAGCCCTGTAAACACACACACACAACTTATTTAGAGTTAAAGCAGATGGTCACGTGGCATCGCATGAATTCGATGTAAAAGTATTTTAAGACATGCAGCACAAATGTTCTTCATCAAATCCTGGGAAGACTCAGGATGTGACAAACTTCCTGTGTTTCAGGAGGACTCTTTTGTCATGTCAAAACAAAAAGATCATGCGGGTCATAATCAGGGCGATCTCTAAGATCATTTTTACACAGAACTTCTTAAATTAATAATGAACTTGTAATGTAGCGGAGTGCTATTTGATTCTGCATATTTAATATTGAGGTTTTTCATTTTAAAGCAGGAAACTGGTAGGGGGCACTCTCTTTTTAAACAATTGATTATAGTTGCATTGCCATTTGGACCTCAAAAACAACAACTGGCATCTAGCATTCTTTAGGGTGAATGGATTGGCATTTACAATATCAAATAGTGCCGAATATGTGTGAGAAACACAAACACAGTGACAATATATAATTGGTAACTTGCTTGAATGTCCTGCAGGTCATAGGGGGAAGAGCAAACACTATGAGAATGTTATGACTGAGTTAAAGAAAATAACTGGAGCATCTCGAAAAGACAGTATACAGTGTTTTGAAGATATCCTTAAATAAATGCAAATTAAGACCTCAGTTACAACTTTTGTTCTTGCTTTACGACCAAAAGCCAAACATAGATATCTAACCATTAATTCATTTGCTAACAATTGCTCAAAAACTGTTTTTTTTAACTAAACACTGATATAGGACTTATTCATACTGTCCAGGTGTAAGAGTTTAAAATGCATCATACATGATCCAAAATATGTCAGTTTCGCCAAAATGAAGAGTGTTAACCTCTTGTGTCGCCTCATAATGCAAACAGGGAACTTACCCAGAAACTGTGCTCTGGCCTGATGTGGGTTCAGGGTCTGCACTTGCTGCATGTGCTGTGTAGCCATGGTAACCCACTGCTGGGGTGGCTGCTTTTTGAACAGAGGTGCGGGGATATACTCAGATAACTCGTGTCTGGAATAGAAGAGAAGATAAAGATAAGTCTGCTTCACTCTGTGATTTCTCAGAATGATTTTACTCGGTGAGCCGCTCTGCTCTGCTGTCTACTGAGTGTGTGGGAGGAGAGCCACAATGATAACCAGTAACCCGAAAGAAAGGAGGTTAGTTTTTTTTACGGTTAAGAAAAATAAAATGTCATGCACTTTAGACAAAAAAAGAAATATTGAAACACTACACTGTTGTCATCCCTTCAGCAAAGTGTTTGTTTCTGCACGGCTTAAGAACATCAGTGTGAAATGGAAAATCTATAAATCCATTGCATGGCGCGCCGGTGGCCTAGTGGTTAGTTTGTGCATCCATGTACAGCAGCCCTCAAAGCGGGCAACCAGAACGATACCTGTGGATCCTTTCCCACTTGTCATTCCCCACACTCTATCCACCTGATTTCTCACTCTATCCACTGTCCTGTCTCTCTAATAAAGGCATAAAAAGGTCAAAAATAAATCTCACAGTAACTTGTGTATACGTTGTCTGATTTGGACACAGGCCTATTAATAAGTGTTTATCCCGTGTCATCTCTCATGCTAATTTGCTTAGACAGAGGAACAGTTTAAGGTGGGTTTTTCAAAAAAAAAAAAACAAGTCGGTAAAATGTATTTCATCTAATGTCATCCTTTGTTTGTCAATTTAAGATTTTGAAATCAAATTGTGCTGATGTAGGTAACGGGGAGACCTGAATAGTAAAAAAAAAAAAAGGGCTTCTCTGTTCTTTTTTATTTTCTACGTATATTCTCACTTTTTTGTTGCAATAATATATATACACTGTATACTATATATATTTTTTCTCTGATCTCAAAAACTGTAAAATTCAGAATTAGAAAAGTTTCTAACTGTTTGCTCACATGCTGGGGATGAAGATGATGTCTTTAGCTCTGTGCTGCAGAGTTGCCAGTTTGGAGATTTGATGGAACTGCTGGTCGCTCACTTTCCCATGTGGAAGAACATTCAGCAGGCCTTTACGGTAGTCTGGCAGGATCTAATTATACACAAAAACACACCAGTTACATTCACACATAAGTATTAATGCATAATGTATATGAAGCATCACCTGTTATACCTGGTTATAGTGCATGGCGACACAAAGCTCATTATCAAACTTGAGCGGTTGACTCCAGATGACTCTTCTGAACCAGAAGCTGTAGTTGGTGTCGACGACCTCGGCCTCTGTCGCAACATCCAGGATGTACTCATGTTTGTTAAGAGGACGCACATTCTGACCTGAACACACCAATGTTCACATTTAAAGTTGATTATAACACAGAAATATGCTAATTTACACATCAAGATTAACTTCACTCTGATATTTTTCTATTATTAAGAAACGTCAATCTAACACCCAGTATCAGTATCTGACCTTCAAATGTCAAACGATTAGTTAAAATCCATTGAAACTACTGACTCATACCCTCTGACATCACGCCAATAGTTGTGCAGCCACATGTTGTGTGACCTGCTGTGTTTTTGAATAGTACACTAACATGAGCAGCTGCCAGCTGTTATCGTGTGGAGATATTTAATGCCAAGCAAGGACTGAAAACAAAGAGGCTGGTGTGACGGTACAGAATGGAGTTTCAGCACAGAACAAAAAGGCTATTACTATTGTAAACTATTATATATGTATTTATTCTCCCTGTTTGTGCTTTTCAAGGTGTGTAACATCATTAAATGCAATTGTAGCGATACAGCATGCAAATGTATTGCATGTTAACATCCTAGCAGATAATAATGGGTAACTTCGTGTTCAGAATTGTTAATGACAGACTGTGTTGTGATTTTAAGCCACGGCTTGTTATTTTTCCAAGACGGCCCCATCAGGACTCATGAATAGGAGTGACTTTCTCCTGCAGCTAGAAACCAGAGAACAGTCTGATATGTGATCTCAGAGCCGATTTGCTTCACTAACAACAACAGGGCGGCTGACTTCATGCAATAAAACTACACTTAAAGTGTGTGTGTGTGTGTGTGTGTGTGTGTGTGTCAGGGGAAAGGGATTAGACGTCTGTGAACACACCTCTGTTTGTCACTAGAAATATGGCATATTCTTCCATGGCCTCCAGTCTGTGTAAACCCATCTCATAACACAGCTCCTCAATCACCTCCAGGGCGACCTGAAAAACACAACAACACACACATTTATATTACAGCCGTCTCATTGACAGTAGCGGCGGTGAAGGGCCAACAGTGTCGGGAAAAACTCACAGAGCACGTTTTGATTTTGGCATGACGTTCAATGCCTCCTGGAAAGAGAAACAGCTGTCGTTTTGAGCTCCGTCCTGCCTGTAAAATTACAAGCAGACAATCACATTAGTATGTACTATACATAGACTAAACTTGTCAGATTACATTAAGGACCTGAACACACATAAATCTACATTTGTAGTGCTGAAAGGTGCCAAGTTAGAGTAACATTATTAAAATGTTAAATTATATTATTAAAATTGTGAAATTAAGATTCTTGTGCTAAATTACTGGAAACATGTTGACTATAGAAATATTTTCTAGCTCAGGCACACCCACAAGGTGTTCTTTTTGTATTGTATTTGTTTACTAATAATGTTTATAGCTGGATAAATGTGAAAATGGACTAAATGCAAAGTTAAAAAAGACAATCAGTGCAAGGCATCTGTCACATAAAACTGCCCACGTCTATCATCACAGCAGATATATACAGAACACACTGACCATCATTGCCTTCAGCTCCATGCTGTTGGGTGGAACAAGGCGGCCACCATACTGGAACGTCTTCTTAAGGTTCTGTTCGCATGCTTTAGCAATGCCTTACACATTTAAAGAAAAAAATACATGTTGGTAATTTCTGAAATTTGTACAGCATATTTACACACTGTGATTGTGTATTTATTCACCCTGATACTGAGCCCCAGCACTGCGAGAAGCCTGCTGCAGGTATTTCAGCAGGAAGGGTTTGAGGACCTCAGAGCAGCGATGGAAGGCGGTCAGGATGTACAGCAGCCTCCATCCTCGGAGGCAGCTATCGCTGTAAAACACGAGAGTGCACGGACACACTCAGGATTACAGGCTCAGGGATGAAAGAGGTGTGCAGTTTGTGTATCTGTGTGTGTGTGGGTTTGTGGTGGGGAAGTTGTACATATGTTAGAGGAGACGTACGGTTTGGAGCTGGTGTTAGCAGTAAGCTGTCTGAGGAGCTGGCAGTAAGCCTCATCCCGCATCAAGGTGAACTCTCTGATGAGCTGAGGGGAGCACGGAAAAAATGAACACACACATGGACGCGCGCACACACATACACACACACAAGATAACACACACATATGAGTAAACTTTCAAAGATAAACTAGTATGAGAAGAAAAGTGTGTATTTACCTTCAGGAAAGTGCTGACCACCTCCTGTTCTGTTGATCCCCTTAATGGAGAGTCACCCATGAAACGCATCACGGCTACACAGATTACCACACATGCACACACACAGGAACACACACAGGTCAGTATTATTGAAGTCTTCAACAACAGATTATAAACAGAAATCCTGCGCTTGAGAATTAAAACCTGATATGAAGATGTTAGACGGATGAATTGGAGCCCAGATGAAATCAGAGTGATTATATAAGATGATGTAATAGAGGAGAGAACTTACACAGACATAGGTCAGCTGACACTCTGCTCATGGCTACATCTGTAAACTCTATCAGAGACTCAGTCAGAGGAGTCTGCAAAGGAAGAACATGTACTGTACAAGGTAAGTGTCATATAAACATCTCTCTTAAAGAGGAATGACAAATAAAGTAAAGAGAGACTGCAGGATAAAGGCACCTTTGAGAACTTGATCATCTCGATGGGCTCTCTGGAGTCTCTGGTCTTGCTTTTATTCTTCAGGGAATCTCTAAAAACGCAGTCAGTCACAAAGGGAAGCCTTTAGATTTAAAATTGGTCTTAATAAGTATTCAGAACATTACCGGTAACACTCATTACAATTAAAAGTCCTGCATTCAAAGCTTAAATCAGTTACAATATTAAAGTATTAACAACAAACAATTATTTAAGTATATATAAAATGTAATTAATTCTAACATTTGTCAGCTTTTCATCTGCATCTGTTTTATTATAATTAATGAAATTATTAGTATAGATTGTAAAAAGAAATCCTTTATGTTAAAGTTGAGCTGATTGACCTTTAAATCTTGTGTAAAGGTGGGTTGGTAGTATCTCACAATACACTATACTTTATGAAACAAATATATTTTTGGTGTATAATTGACTCAGTTATTATATCTGTCAACGGCACAGCATGTAGTCTCTGCCACTAGGGGTCACTCAATCCAAACAGTAACAAAAGATGGAACCATGGGAGTTGTATTTAGTTTAAAGCAAAAATCATCACAGATGAAAATGGATCTGATGTAACTCAGAAAGAAAGCATTTTCAGTGATAAGTTTATGGATTAAACTTAGAACAGTATACAATATGTTTTTTTAAATACTACCAGTTACAACTAAATTGAGTGCACAACTTGCCAGAAGTGCAACAATAAAAAAAGTAAATAGCAGAAATAAAACACAGAATTTATGAAAACATTGCAGTAGTATGCAAGGACACAATAGCAACAGTAAAGGAATTCACATTATTAACCTTAATTCACAAATGTTATTTCATCCAAGTAACGTTAGCAAATGCAAACAAACTCATCGTCAACTTCCTCCCTCACCCTCAGTATCATCATGTTATCTTGTGTTTCCCTTACAGCTGAACAAATGAAAGCACCTTGAATTGATGGGTTCAATTGAAAACATTTTTAAAGAATCCAGTGAAACAAAGAGTAAAAAGTGTAAGAGGAAGAAATTATCATCAAGGAGAGATAAGCACTTTAGAAGTATGCTCAAGTACACTTAGTAAAGTGAATCCTACACTAGCTTTTAGATATGGTTTCTGTGAAAGGTTTTTCTGTGTGTTTGTGAGGATTTCCCTGTGTGATCACATCTTTCCTTTGTCTCACCCCTTCTTGTTGGATGGCTGTCTGAAGTACTTCTTGGCAAACTCCAACATGTCATATTTACTGTCCTGCAGGACCCTCTCATCCAGATCTCCATCAGTGAAGCCGTCGAGAGAAACCCTCTGAAAACACAAGATTGGCAGTGAAAACCATCTAACACTCACATCAGATTGACAGACAGAAAAAGAAGAACGTATTAGTGAGCGTGTGAGGACCTCAGAGCAGTGGGTGTACCTCTATTGTTTGATCTATCTCATGTGCAGCCATGGTGGATGCCACGGCAACAGCAACAGCTGATGACACAGCAAATTGTCCAGCTCCTCCTCGGGGCTCGGCCTTGCGGTCGAGTGGCAGCGACAGGAAGTCAGGAGCAGCGATGGGATGTACGCATTCAGTCGGGAAAGCCCCAGAGCGGCTAAACACAGCACCAAACTTCCAACCTGACACACACACGCATACGCATGCACACACACACATATATCAAATTTGGCTTTATAAATCCAAAAATCACAGTAACATATCTCATTGGATTTATACTGGAGGTTGGAAATATTCTTCTTTATACATTACCAAGTGCCAGTTTAAAGAGCAAATGAAAATATCCCAGTAAATTGCAATAACGTGTGTGAATGCACACACTGGTTTTGTCTGGCTCAGTATCTGTTGATTGATCAATAAAACTACGTGACTTCTTTGAGTCTGTCATCATATTCCATCTTTGCTGTCCTAAAGATATGACATGAATCAATATTTTTCAAATTGACCCGCCATCTTCCATCTGAAAAATAATTTTCTGATACAGTTTTGATTTAAAAACTGCTTGGGGCGCTGTCAACATCATGGCACTTTTTTCTCCATGGCTTAAAATGCCATCATCAAGCCTCCAGGGTCCAGGCTAGTGAATCTCTCAAAGCTGTCAACCTAAAATGTCACCTTGATTTTTATTGGGCTTTGCATACGAAGCAAACATCTGGTCACCAAAACTAAGCCGTAAAGTTTTATGATCCAGATCTATAAAATTACATCAATGTTATGCTCACCAAAGTCCTGAGTGTCCCTCTTCAGATCCTCCAAAAACACAACCTTTTTTCTCACCACACAGCCGTAGCTGTAACCTGGAGGAGACAAACACACGCACACACACTTACTCTTGGTTCATTGATTAACTTCTAAGAAAACAGGATTTCTTCTTTCTCTTTCTCTTTGTTTACCACGGTTTCTCACCTTTCTCTAGCCCATCCATAACCTGCAGCCTAATGACGTCACCTTTGTGAAAATTGAGCATCGACCTGTCGTCTGTCACAAAGTTTCGCTCTGCAATCACATAGTCTGAGTCCTGGGGGGCAAAGAGAAAAGACACAAATAGATCATCTCACAATTGTACAAGTTACTTTAATGTTACTCTTAACCTCACACGCCTACTAGAGCTGCATTAAACCGCACCTTAAATCAATCTCACAGAACACAAGAGTTTGTTACATTCAGTATGTGCAGATGAAGGGAGTTAGGAAAGCCAGCACATTAACAGCACTGTCAGTACTACTGTCCTTTGCTCTACATGTTTTTTATTGAATTTTTCTGTACTTTTTGGCTATGCTGAAAACACAAAAGTTGTATTTGTATGTTTTATATATAAAATATATTTAAAAAAAATAATCCAGATCTTTATTTATAGTTGCACAATGTTGTTTCTGCAGAACCTCATTTATTAATCAGAGCATGATGTGCTTGTTTGTGTGTGTGTGTGTGTGTACGTGTGTGTGTGTGTACGTGTGTGTGTGTGTGTGTGTGTCTGTGCGTGTGTGTGTGTAAGTACTGTACCTTTTTAATCTCATTGATGAAGGTGTCTATGAGATATTTGACCTGCGTTGCCTTTGCTGAGAACAGGATGAGTTTCTCGTTGGTCAGATTGAACTCCAGCATGTTCTCAGAGGGGATGGTGACAAACAGGATGTCTGCATAGCTTAAAAGAAAGTGACACAATCGTACAATTCAGCAAATGTTAATGACAAACTATTTATTTTGTTTATAGTTCTTCGTTCATCATGAAAAAAACCGTTGTCTCGACTGTTATCCTGTTGTAAGTGTGATTATTTTTAAAAATAGGTGACGATGTAGTTCTTTCATGTTTATGTTTTGTCCAACTTGCCTGAACAAATACCTTCCTTGACCAATTGACCAAACAATAATCTTTTCACAGACATAGCAGTATTATTGCAAATATCAACGAGGTATTGTGAATTAACTCAACTATATTTAAGTTTAAAAAATCCAGCAGTGGTCAGGCTGGAATGAGAATTCCTTAAAAATATAGAAAAGAGGCAGAGCATTTTGAGATAGGTGTTATTTGTTAGATTAAGAGAGGGCAGTAAATAGAGTACGGTACTTTGCCTTTTGAATAGTTTTGTAGCAACCTTTGTTATTTTGGCAACCTTTCTCTTATACGCTTTGTATTTTAGGCTTTTTGCCTTTACTTGACAGGACAATGGATAGAGTATTAACTTGGACGAGAGAGTGGGAAATGACATGCAGGAAAGGAGCCATACTGTATGTCGGACTCCAATCCGAGCCGCCTGCTTGGAAGACTATAGGCTTGGCCATCAGCCCCCCATTATTACTTTTTTAATCCCTTTTTTAAATATATTTTTTTAAATCTCGTTAATGTACCTTCTTGAACATTCAGTACGTACACACAACCCTTCCTCTGCATGTGAGATCATGTGGGATGGGGATCGTGGGGATATGGTAAGTGGTAAATGGACTTGTAGAGCACTTTTGTAATGCCCTTACTACTCAAAGTGCTTTTTACACCGCAGATCACACTTACCCATTCACACCACATTCACACACTAATAGCAGAGGCTGCTTTGTAAAGAGTCCATCAGTATATTAACTAATCCATTCATACACATTGACAAGTTGCTGACACAGCAGTGGGATCAATTTGGACTTAAGTGTCTTGCTCGATCAGAATCAGAATCAGCTTTATTGGCCATGTATGCTTAAACACAGGAGGAATTTGTCTATCATGAACTGTGCTCTCAATGTACAAAAGCAAACATCAAATATTAGCATAAAAACTGCAGGAGCTGGGAATCGAACCCCTAACCTTCCATTTAGGAGACGACCGACTCTATCACAGCGGCCCCAATATAAACCATCCAGTCAATTTGTTGTGTTATAAATGATTAAATATTTGATTTCTTTTTGACTTGTTACGAAATACTCAACTTTTCAGATTACGTGTGTTATCTTGTACTTTGTTAAATACATGCTAATAGAAATGTACAAATAAAACATACGTGTAGGGTCGGAGCACTCTGAAGTAGTCCGGGGCTGCAGCGCTGCTTTTTACCGTCTTCAGCAGCTTAATACCACTGTGGGACACTGACAACACCTGCACACCTGTTCCTACACTACCCTGCACGCACACAAACACAAACACCAGAGATGTTTTTTTTTTTTATAAAAAGACAACATCACACTGTCAGTAAATATTATCCTCTGGAGATTTAGCAGCCTCACCGATGCAGGGAACAGACGGGAGAAGTATATTTCCCATGTTTCCCTTGCTGCTGTGACAACTCTTTTCTTTACATGCTCCTCCACTGGATCCATGTTCTGCTCTACCCCGTGTTTAGCTGTCAATCACACACATATACACATGAGCTCATGAATGTCAAAGGGACTTGTTTGGATTAGATATTTCAGACTGTGGCGGCGAGAACAGAAAGACTACCGAACAGAGCTTTCATTTTCTGCCTTTCATCCCGGGTGATGCGAACACATGCCTCCGACAAAGTGTCGTTCACTATCTGCAGGAGAGAACAGAGGACGGGAAGGTTTAGATAGTATTTAGTTTGTTCTGTCTAAGATTTCACTGTTGTCAGGTAAAAAGTACGGAGCAGAGAAAAAGAAGGTGAATGAATTGACTGCAGACATGCTGAGTGTGAAGTTACCTGTTTGAAAATGAGATCTAGCACCAGAGGATTGTTGAAACTGTCTTTGGGATAAAAAACCTGCAAAAGACAGAAAAATACTCACAAAAGAATAGAATACAAACACTGACAGTGAATCATGTTTTTTTTTTTTTTTTTTGTCTTTGTGTGTTTGTGTTTGTACCCACCTCCTTCCTGAGGTAGAGTCTCCAGGGAACATTAGTGTAGGTGTAGTGCTCTTTATTGGAGCTCTGATGAAGCTGTGTAAGGATGCTCTCTGCTTCTACAGGAAGCTCTCGAGACACTGCAGCACAAACATTGTTACATATTTGAATTTCTCTTTCATTCAGTGCCCCTTATTTTCACAGTATTGTACTTAAGAGGTAGTTTGGATTTTTTGAAGTAACGTTGAAAGAGGATGCCTCGAAATGACAGGAAAGTAGACAAAAGCATCAGGAACAAAACCGATTATGTCTTTGTAGTTATCATTTTTGTCTGTTATCACTGACAATGGGTCGTAGTCAGATGAGGTTAACGGTATGGTGCAAAACACAGCTCTTGCTAACATTTCCCACAGCAAAATATTCATATTGAGTGATACGTTTATCTGTTAAAAGAAAGCAGAATTCGATTTTATCTAACAGAAAAAAACACTTACACGTGTTTAGGACAATATAAGTAATGAGATCAAAGCTAATGCTTTGTTTACAGGGGTGCCAAGATCAACACACAAGTTTGTGAATCGAATTATGAACATATAACAGAATCTGTAAATTTTTCCAACTTTCACATTTCTCAACCTATCTCTACTGCACCTTTTATTTGAGGGCTTTTTGTGCCTTTATTTGAGAGATTGGACAGTGGATACAGTCTGACAGAGAATGGGGAATGACATGCAGGAAAAGAGCCACAGGTCGGATTTGAACCCGGGCCGCCCACTTAGAAAGACTACAGCTTCCCCATACGTGGGGCGCGCGCACTAACCACTGCGCCACTAGCACCCCATGAACATGTTTTTTTAATTGTACAACCACGCTATGCATGCTGCAGCATGCAAAAAGAATAGTTCTAAGAGTAATATGGTTGATAAAAATAACACAATGCCAAATAAAAGGGCTCTCTGAAGGCAAGGTAAAAGAGTGCTATATTTTAAATTAAGTGGTATTGATTATGTAGGTGAAAACTTTTAGTCGCTTTTAGTACATTTTGTTCCAGAACCGTCCACAGTGCTACATAGCTTAGCTTCCATGATGGCAACCTGAATAGCTTCTTCAAACATTGGTTGGCATTTTTTGTAGGAAATTTTATTTTAAAGTTCCTTACATTCATGATCTTTAGATTTCCTCCTCTAAGACAACCGGACTGACTCTGATTTGCTGTTATTTCTGAACGTTGTTGTCACCTTGTTTACAGAAACACTTCAAGATCTAGTGGCCGCAAGATAAGAGGAGAGATGTGTTTTCACAATCTACATATCTGTCGGGTGTCATGGCGCGGTGCCACCTGCCTGCTGTGAGGTTGAGTGTGTCCCTGTTTAACTGCTCCACTGTACTGCTGACCTTGTATGGCACATGCAAATTATCAGCAAATAGGCTTGATATTTTTTGCCAGCTGTGATTACGTGCGGGTTAGTAAATGAGGAGAACTGTCACTTTACTTAAAATCAAAGCAGAATTTATGCAGAATAATGTGAGATGGCCTCTGACAAAACGATGTCTAGTGGGCGTATGTAAGGACATTTGACACATTTCAGAAGAGGTCAATGCTGACCGTCACGACCACCCTCTTAAGGGTTTTGTTTTCCTCTACATTTATTGCAGGAATGACTTTGAAGGTTCCCTTGAGAGCCAATTCCAGAAGGTTTTCATTCCTCAGGTGATTCCACTATTTAGCCTATCCCTCTAAGCTGCTCGGTTACAGGAGTTTTTGGTCAAAATAAAAAACTGAAAAACTGAATGTTTGCTCTTCTTGGAAAATGGTTAAAAACCATTGAATTATTCAGGTGCTTTAGATTAGCTGGGCTTGATCAGCAGTATTCAATTTAATTCAGTGGTATTGTGATTTTTTTTAGGGTTAAAACATAATATCAGTGATTTGTTAATACAGGTTAAGACAGGGATTTACGACGCAGAAAAGTCATCATGATACATTTTGCTTAAAAGTACCTGTTTGATTCGTTTGGCCACTAGGGGCACTGCAGTCCAGTAAACAGACAGTATACATTATATTTAAAAAATAAAGGCTCATTGAAGAACCAAAGAACATTGCATCAAAGATTTTTTAGGAGGTAAAAATGCAACAAACAAAGTGAAATAATTCAATCTAAACGATGATTTAGATTTTATAGTTTGATCTGGTGTGAGTACCTGGAGGAGGCTTTGGAAGAGGGCGATCAGGCGCTCTTGTCCTTGTGGTCTTGGTGGGTTTAAATCCCGCTTCTTTCATTGCAGACGCAGACCGGGAGGGGGGAACAGGACATTTGGGCTAAACAGACAGAAAAAATATTCCTCTACATGACTTATTACACCATTGTGTAACATGCATGTGCACATTGTTACATTCAGTGACTTGTTATTCTGCAGGTACACGTGTGTGTGTGTGTGTGTGTGTGTGTGTGTGTGTGTGTGTGTGTGTGTGTGTGTGTGTGTGTTGTGTGTGTGTGTGACAGTGTGTGTTTACCTGGGGAGCAGGAGGGTGGTCCATCTGGGGTTTGAGGATTTGTAACGCTTCGTCCCGAGCAGTTTGCTTCTTCTGAAACTTTCCCTCTGGTCTCCTTAATACATCCACACAGTGTCAACATCTCACAGCACAGTTTGCAGGGACAACAAATGAGGTGTGCTGTGTAATATGCGTTTGTGTTTAATTAGAGTAAATACAATCATTCTGGTGCTGTTTGCGCAGTCGGTATCTGTTGGTGGTTTGTTGCAGCCTGAGTTTTACAGTATGCACAGTTAATTCTGCGACTGAGGATGGCATCAACTGCTGTGATATATTTACAAGCAAAGATCTAGCTATTTGAATCCAGGAATACTTTGCTCACTCATCATCAGCTATCAGCCAGCCCTTGTGTTTGTGTGTGTGTGTGTGTGTGTGTGTGTGTGTGTGTGTGCGTGTGTGTGTGTTTGGGAGACCTCACCTCTTGCCAGGTGGCAGCATGTCTGGAGGCGGAGGAGGGGAGTTGTACCTTTTGATGATGTCTTTAAAAAGAATAAAAACAGTGTGAAGAATTTTATAGATGACACTTTATACTTTTCCATCATTCTTTCCAGATATCTACAAATGAGTTTGATGAATTGCAAGGAATAAATAACTTTATCAACATGATCATCATTCCGATGTGCCGAATGCATCCTGTGAAATGATTTTATGACACTGACAATTGAATTGAAATACTTTGGATGTCTTGGCTGGGGACGATGTGATCTGAAGTCTGAGGTGAGTACTTCACCACTTCTCCAGCAGGCGGTGGAGGAGACGTCACCACTGGGGCTATAACACACACATAAAGAGAGAGAGAAAAATAGAGTCATCCTCTCATGTGTAAAGCTCTCATGAATAAGAGTTTTAGTTAATGGACTGTCTCACTGTTTCATGCTTGCTCAATCTCTCATATTTTCTGTCTCTTTTCCTCTTACCAAACTTTCTGGCTGGTTTATCCTTGTTCATGGGGACCCCGGGAGCTTTCCTCCGAGGGACACTGTCCTTATCTGACTGAACCTGAAAAAAACGCACAGAGAGGACAGAGAGTTTGCACTCAAAGCTTTGCAGACATTTAGCCTCCTGTGATTTGGTTGGAATCAGGGCAATGTCAGTACAAAGAAAAGGACAAGGAAAAAAAATACTCTGCGGTAATAAATAAAAGTAGCACATTTTTGATGCTACAGAAAAGAATAAATGTGCAAGTGATTAATCTGCTTTTTGGCAAGATTATTTTTATTTTGTGAATGTATTTTGTGCACCAATTGCTGTTGTGTTTTTTAAACCATTTGAAAAGTGATGTTAACCATTGGCAAAAAATAAAATGGTTCACATGGTTAAACAAAAAATACTTTGAATAAAATATTCAATTTCTTACAGAATCTGGGCATCAGAACACTTCCAACTGAACACTTTTAAAGATGTAGTGGCCAGTAATTCATTATTTTAAGCAACGACTGTATATCACAAGTCACAGACAATTTACTCAAATTAAACAGCGACATTAGAAACAGAGAAGAAATCAGCAGAAGCTGTAGGAGTCCAATTTGTACATCCCTTAGTGCTGTTATTTCTATTTGGAGACTTTAGTGGGTTTTTCTTCTCAGCCCACAGAATGTTAGCAGTTTTAGCCATGAGAAATTAAGTGGAGTCTGTGATTGTCACTAGTGCTGGTTATTTTATTTATTGGCTTTCGTTTTTTCTTCAGTTTTTTTTTCTGGCCGTGTCTGTTCTTCCTTGGTGTTCGTCTCACTCCAAAAATATATCTCAATGAGATCAAATGAAGCATATCCATATTTTCATTTCACTTGCTTTCCCCTGAGTCATAGAAATGGTCTAATAATGTGTTTCTTATCTTGGCTCTTCTCTTCACTTTTGTTGCTCCTTTTTTGCTGAGCTCTGTCCATTAAAAGGAAACATCCTTCTGGCTTTGGGGGTATAATGTTTCCTTTTAAAACACTGTCTGTTGTTGTTTTTCATGAATTAAAAAGTACTGCATCATTATGTAACGTGTCATTCTGGACTGTTACCTCACATGTCTCAGAGTTACTGACCTGTGCAGCAACGTTGGCTTTAGGCCCTGCTGCCTCAGTTTTGTTGGTTTTGAAGGGGCCGGGCTGAGGGTTGGGGTTGGGGTTAGGGTGGGAGGCCTGAGGCTGAGCTGCAGGGTGAGTCCGGGGCTCAGTGGCTTGTTCCTGTTGAATGGTTGGAGGATAGGGCCTGGGCAGGATGTTTGCGTCAGAGTAAGGAGTGGGACTGAAGTTAGCATAGGGGCTGGGTGGGATGTTAGCGTATGGACTTGGGGGTATGACAGCATAGGCTGGGGCGTACGGGCTGGGAGGGTGATGGAGCAGAGGACTCATTGGTGGGCTTGTGATTGGGGAAGTGGGTGGGCTTGTGACTGGGCTGCTGACGATGGCCATGGCCTGCATGGTCATCTGCTGGGCCTGGGAAAAAAACACACTTATAAATACCAAGATAGGAGTGCTTCATAGAGAAACAGAAGCAGATCCAGAAGGAGGGTTTACCATGATGATGGCCTGCTGGTTCACGATCGCCTGCTGCTGCTGGGCTAAAACAGCCTGCTGGGCATCTGGAGGGGAGAGCAGAGACACCGTCAACAGGATGGAGGGAGAAAAAAAATTATGTCTGACTCCTTTTTTTTTTGTCATATTTGTCTTCACACTCGAAACAAACCAGGTGTTACAGGTGCCACAGCGGCAACAGGAGGCGACATCACACCTCCCACAGGAAGGACTCTCACAGCTGTGGACACACAAACACACAACATCACATCGCCGTCAGATTTGAAGTGTGTTTGTTTTCTTACACTTGCTAATGATTTATGAAGATATAAAGGCTGTTCTTTTATCCAATACTTTGATTATATATCAATCAATCAATCAGCCAATCAAACTTTATTTGTAAAGGACTTTTCATAGAATAATAATGTAACACAAAGCGCTTCATGTAAAAGCAAATCAGTAGGCAACAATACAACCCCCAGCCAACAACCGACACACAAGGTAAAAAAATATGTCATAAAAAAAGAACTTGATAAAAAACAGGTCCTGATGGAGTGAGGAAACGCAATCCTGAATTCGTAATGAGGAAACACAGGAGGTCAGGGTTAAATTATTAAAATTCAAGATGAGCATAAGAAAACAATATTGAAGGAAAATAAATTAGACAATAAAACACTGAAAGCTAATACATCCAATATATAGAATAATAAAACCATTACAGAATAAAATAGAATATGATTGTAGGCCAGTCAATAAAACAGACCACTATGTAAAATACTCTGACAAATAAATATGCCAAGAAATAAACTACATACGATCAAATACAATTCATTAAAAACTAGACTAAAGTTTAAGTTTGCTTGTAAAAGTGTTCACGTTGTGTGCTGCCCTCAGGTCTTCAGGTAAATCGTTCAGATGGAGGCCGCAATGAGGGAAAGATGCCTCACCGTACGTTTTCGTCCTGACTTTGGGCTCAATTAAAAGGCCACTTCCAGAAGACCCGAGGGCTCTATTGAGCTCATCATTTAAAAGCAAATTCAATAAATAGGTAGGAGCAAGACCATTAAAAGTGTTACAAACCAATAAAAGAATCTTAAAATCAATTCTAAAACAAACAGGTAGCCAATGCAGAGACTGTATATGGATTTGAGATAATTAAAATTGTCGCCTGAGGATGGTTTTGTGCTGTGATATTTAGTGTGGTGGTAATAACACCACACTGAATGGTACCATATTATTTATTAATAGGACTGAGTGTGAATGTATACAAACTAAAAAAATGAAGGAACACATTTTTAAAACATCTGGTCTTTCATAAAAGTTACATTTTGCATATTGAAATTACTTTTCTGTATGGATTGTCATTGCGTGACGTCTGGATATCAAATATCAAATACAGCCATCCACATTTAGATTTTAATTAGTTTTTATCATTTGGCAGATAAAAAGTCTTTCAGTATATTTGTACTGAATTGTTTGAGCACTGTAGAAGGCCTAAACAAAATCCTCAAATAAAAGACAGAAAACAGTTAAATATGTTCCCTACTTTCTGCTAACAGTTCCTATGGATGGAAAAAGTTATTCCCTACTTAACAAGCAAAATTTAATTATTAACTAGATTCACTGAGGTGAGCCGCCGACTGTTGATTAAGAAAGAAACAATCAACAAGGATGCGATTTTGAACTGAGTCTGTGAATTTGACTGACCACCGGGTGGAGGTTGATGTCCCGTCGTCTGTCCTTGCTGTTGCCACACCCCTCCGACTCCCCCCGCTCCCTTCATCCTGCTGGACAGTCCTGCAGCTGATTCCAATTCCTGTAAAGACAAACATGAGAATGTAAAAAGAGGCAAAGAAATGAAAAAACAAAGTGCTCCAAAAATCAGTCTGTTGAATATTGAATTCTCTCCACTTGTAGGCGTGAAGGGAGGTTCTGAACAGAGCTGAGTGTCAGAATGATTCATCCTTATACTGACTGATACATAAATCACTTGCTGCTTATATTATGGTTTACAATCACCAAATAAACCTGTAGGAAAGAAATGTAAAGTCATGTGAAACTGTTCAGGCTTAACATACTCAGTAAAACTCTTTGTTTTTCTAAAAAGATGTTGATACATGTTTACTGAAAATGTTACCGTTTTAAAAATCAGTAACAGTATCGGCTTCTGAAACCAGGACTCAGTTGTTCTATAAACTGTAGTACAGACACATCCAAAGATACCAAATGTCAGATCATTATTGTAATCATGTTTGCTTTTTTTGTTAGCCAGCCCATGATTTAAAGGTCACATATTATCTTTTCAAAACAGTTTAGTGTCCAATGTAAGATATATATGGAGGTATAAAATCATTTTTACACTTTGTGTAATGAGCACACTGAGCGTCATATTCGAGGAGCTTCCTCTTATGACGGCAGGCATTCCATCAGAAATCATCTATTGACCTATAAATTCAAAGGAGTATGCGTGCGCGTGTCTGCGGGCACATGCGCGTGTTTGTGAGTGCAAATGCGTGTGTGCAAGTGTGCGTGTGTTTGTCGGCCATGTCTCATTAAATAGTAAGTCCTTCATTTGCCAGAGTGTCAGTTCCTCGTAAGCAGATCCCTGAGTTGCCTGGGGTGGGAAATCACCGTGGCGATCTAGTGGCTGTGACAGTTACGGTAACTGGGTAACGTAATCGGTTTCTGGGCAGGAGAGGTCTGTAGAACACATCTGATACATGCTAATTCCTGTCAACCACATCCGATAGCACGACTAACATTCACCACGTCATCCCGGCTGAGGACTGAAAGATCCAAAACAAACAGCGTTTACTGCACCATTGCCCTGAATAAATACTCATGGATTTAACTCAATCAACAACCATCGGATAACACTACAACTAGAATGAACAAAACAGTGGTGAAGGAAAACGTTTGTGTTGGCGGTAAAGCTTTAAAAAAATTAGCTGACAGAGGTGTTTTATTTCTGCCCAAAGTGATATACAGTATCATGCGAAATCATCATCTCAACATCTCTGCCATCTACTTCATATACAAGCAGAACATTTACCTTGTGTTTACATTGCCAATTAGCAGACCGAACTTAAAAACCAAGATTTGTAATATAAGTGTCTAATTTACCAATATAGTACATACTTTCAATTATAATAAGTAACAACTAAATTGCAGACTCTCTCTTTAGCTGTGACAGATAAATGTACTTAATGGGAACATAGATGGTCCAAATATTGAGGGAGTGCACTGAATAAGGATCTGTGGAGGCCACTCCACTGTTCATTAGTTTTGTGACAACTTTTCCAGGTAATTATCTCCTCCAGGGTTAAGGTTATGTTTTCAGGTCTGGTTTTCTTTCTCTGTTTTCAGCAGGATAGTAGAAAAGTACTGGCCTGTTTTTTTTTAATAAAGCTTGATGGGGAGGTAAAGCATGGGTTAAGGAGGAACTCATTAAATAGTATTTTAGTTTAGTTTATTTATATGAAGGTATGAAAAAAACTGAAACTAATACTGATGTTTCTTTATGACCTACAAAAGCAGACAGGACCATCAGCAACAAGATTGATCATTTCTATATAGGTTTACAAGAGGACATCTGTGTGCGGCCCAGATCCCACTTTGACAACCACTTTCATAAAAGAATTGACTACTGGCCTTGGTGGAGATCTGCGTTATTAAAGTTGCATCAAGTTCTGATTGATTTTCACTGTCAGAATGATCACAAACACCCTCCAATTCTTGGATATACCCATTACCTTTTATGAGTATTTTCGCCTGATTTCAATGAATAACTTTACAAACATTTTCCTTTTATTTTAATTGAATGAATTAAACCATTTAATTGATTGTTGTCTTTATTTAACACTGCTAAAGAAAGACTTTCACTAACACTTTAATGCTTACGAAATAAAATTGACCAGGATGTGCAGAAAACAAAACAAGAGCACTCATCATGCTGTCGCATTACTCCACTAAAGAGTTTGACAGAACTTTACCTGATCCGCAGAGTAACTAGGTTACCCTCTCAGGTGGTCAAGTGTGTAAGTGTGAGTGTGTTGTGTAACTCACTGCAGCTCCGTCAGACAGTACCGGGTCAAACAGGCTGTCGAGATAACGATCCATCCCTCTCTGAGGCTCAAAGTCTGTGACAGAAGAGGAGGGGAGAGCGCTTCAAGGTCAACAGTAATCGAAATCAGTCTTTGTGCACTTTCGTTTGTTTGCTTTAAAGTGTACCTCGTCCATCCGAGCCGGGAAAAGCTGAAGACATGACATCACCATTTATGTCAAATCCACCACCCAGCAGGCTTCTGTAAAACAAAACTTTTACCTTACAAAAACATTTGGTGAATTTAACAAGCAAGCACAACTGGATTGCGACTCCAGGACTTGTTGAGTAATGCAAGATAAAATGTGCTTTGCTGTTGTGCTGAACACAGACAATACACTACATCCCAAAAAAATCCTTTGATTTTTGGACACAAGAACAGCTGTCACATCAAATGATGTGAAGGATACAAAGTAAGTAATATTTCCCAGTGAGATGTGTTTGAAAAGAGTTATAGAGTTGCATGGGATGGAAATAATATTATGTAAAGGTCAACATCATTATTGAAAAAAGCAAAACTCATTCCTTTGAATTCTTCATAAAATTGATGATACAACGGAATATGTGTTTATTTGTCTGTATTAGTGTGTGTGTGTGTGTATGTGTCTCACATGCTGGCATTGGGCCGCACTCTGGACGGTTCCTGTGCAGAGATGATGAAGTAGCTGCTGTGTTTAGGGAAGTCTGTGGGAAGCTCCAGGTCCGACATCAGATCCAGAACATAGTCTGATCCCTCCAGCTCTACCCACTGAGCCGGCTCCTTCAGCAGCACAGACCAGCCTCGACGGCCGTCCACCACACCCCTTCACACAAACACACCCAAAAGCCAGTATGGTTAATTCAATTCCTCATTTGTTCATTTTATTTTACATTTGGTCGTAACCCAATTCATATATTTGGTGATTATTTGGTGCAGTGACATAATACCTGTGTTGTAAAATGTCTTTGGCCATTTCCTCTCCTGTTGTCCAAGAGTGCAGAGGACACAGGAGGGACACAGCTGCAGGAGAAAAAAACCTGTAAATTGTGCCTGAATGATATGAGAAAAATGTGATATGTGCAATAACACATCATATTTTTAATATTACAATGACAATAAGAAGTATGATAAAAACTATAACTGTGGCGTGACTTGGGTGTGTTTTCATCTTGCAAAGCACTGATAACCATCAAAGCCCTGTTATAAAACAGCTCCTCAACTGTGACACTTGAACAGAGTTTCTAGCAACCTCTACTGCCTGTCTGTGAAGATTTACACAGACAGGCAGTGGCAACAAACAGACACAAACACAGCCAGTGAACCAGAGGGAGTATCAGGTGTTGCCTAATCCTCAGTATGCTTGCCAAAAAGGCCAGAGGACAGATTAGCTGGATGAGAGAAGGAAATGAGACAGAGACAGACAGATAACTCTTCCGTGCTGATTAGTGCGCCCATTGGCTGAGCAAATAAAAAAAAAAAAAAGAGAGAGATGAGGTCAGGTGAACCGGGGGAGTCAAAGTCAAAGGGGAATAATTAAATATACAACACAATAAAAAAAATATTTTTTTCTGTTTTCTGTGTTAGAGGACACAACATTTTTGTTTTACAGTTCTCTCCAGCAAAATTATTTTGAATACATTTCATTAACCTTTTTTAAAATAGTAACTTGTTATAAGTATAAATTCAGTTAGAATCCCCTCTTTGTGTGTGTGTGTGTGTGTGTGTGTGTGTGTGTGTGTGTGTGTTTCTGTGTCTGTTCTCACCATCGAAGCAGTGTATGTGCAGAACAGTGTGAGCTCTCTTGCGATTGGCGGTCCACTCAAGGAGACAGGGTGGGTACGTCCTGACGTACTCCGGCCCAACATTCAGCCGCTGCAGAGCCTGAAGCAGACGATGCTGACACACACAGTCGTAGCCCTCCGGCCCGTAGTCAGACACAAATCTACAACAACAACAACAACAACAACAACAACAACATGAGTTCCAGGGTTTGCAAAGCATCACTTAATAGCTTGTTCAAATATCCAAGAGAAGAAGGTAATATATTTCATGTTTAATTAAATACAGAGACACTATTATTCTCTATGGTCTGGCTTTTCCCTGTTCAGTAATGAAAAGATATTTCTCTGTCTGTTTCTTACTTGAGCAGGTACTTGGCCAGTCTTTGAGAGGGCAGAAAGGCAGAGAGACAGGAAGAGAGAAGAAGCCAACCACGCTCTGAATTCAAAATGTTAGGATTCCTCCAAACCTAATAGAGACAAAATTGGGGAAAATTATTAAGAGGGAAACTAGTGAAATATTTTGTCTAATTTATTCTGTATTTTCTATCTCAACAAGGGAAAAAAACGCTCACCTGATTGGCTACCTGAGCCAGGATTTCATCCCGGAGGTTGGGATTGGCAAGTCCTCTCTGGATGATGTAGTTCCCAAACAGATTCTCCTGAGCCCCATTCAAGTCAGGGTCACCCATAAATCTTAATATCTAACAAAATAAAAGGCATTTATAACAAATACTGTCACTTTAAAAATGACACCGTTAGAGGTGGAAAAGCCTTCCTGCAGCTACTCAGTGTTTGATTTTACATCATGCTTTACTTTGATTGCAACAGACTTATTGATGTTGGAAAAAAACAACAAGCTTACATCCTACATTCTACATTTATGCTCCCTGAAGTTCAATTATAGGAGTTTGGGTGTGTAGGCCTGGGAGCAAACGTCCCAGCATGTAAATGCAATACATACCAGGATGAAAACATTCAGGGCTCCTTCTTTTAGTTCCTCATCCATTCTAATCAGAGTACTCTCCAGCGGGGCTGTCAGCATCCCAAACAACGGCTCCTATAACACGCACACACACGCACACACACACGCGCACACACACACACACACACACACACACACACACACACACAAACACACACACACACACACACACACACACACACACACACATACACACACACACACGCATGAGCACAGAAACAACACTGAGCAGGGCCCATAAGAGTTCACAGAGGTCCATTTATGTTTTATTCATGTGTTTCTCACAGTTTCTCGTGCAGACACTCTGTTAGTGTTTATGCGTGTGTTTACCCGAAATATGGCCCTTATGTAGTGTGTCATGAGGTAGTTGTTGATGTCCAGGGGCAGGGTCAGCTGGGGGTCAACCTGAACCTTTGGAGCCTGGACCACAGCCAAGCAGTCCGAATGCAGCTCCTCGCCGCCTGTACACACACACACACACACACAAACACGCACATCGAGCCACAGCAGGGCATGTGTCATCAAAATATGACAGTAGATTTAGCTGAATTCGCCTGCTGAAAAAGGTGGAACTTGTTAGTTTAAGTTTATTCATAGCAGTGACGGACCACATATCAGTGAGCCATACCTATAAGTTTGTGAGTTTGTGTCTGTGTGTATGCACACCTGACGCGGCTTGTAGCAATGCTGCTAGCTCAGCAGGGATAGGCAATGTTGTCACATTCACCACTTCTCTGTTGATGCGATCCTACAAACACCACACACATATAAACATAAATGAGACTAATGCAACATTTTCAGGTCTTTGTCAAAATGTTCTCCTCTTTCCTCACTCACCTCTTCTTCCCTCCTAGCAGGCTCCACCACTGTCTGACAGAAAGACAAAAGTATCACAATTCACACATTCGTTTATGTTTTTATTCATTCAAACAGAAGAAGATTCCTTGTTCACAAAGACACAAACGTGATCTGCATACCCTCATGTAGCGCTGGCGGTTGACGATGAGCAGCACGGCGGAGCGAAACCTGATGAGGTACTTCCTTCTAAGCGCAAACCTCTTTCTGTTCAGGGACAGTGGAAGATTGATTTTCAGAAAGATTCAGATTGGGGAAAAAGTAAGATAAGAAAATTGAAAGACTCAGTTACCATTATGTAAAAGTTCAACATTTTGACAAAAAACAAATAATTCTGAATGAAATATGCACAAAAATGTGAACTTTTAACCCTGACATTTTACCAAAATGTCAATCACTGTAATTATGACTGACAGCATGACTTTTGTAGTAAAATTTATGTTAATCACACTGATAGAATTCATTATAGTTTTGATGTGAAATTGTCATTTCCTTAAATCATTGAAGCGCTACAAACAATCTCTGACATATAATTAAAGATTCAAAATGTTTGACCTTGAGTTTATAGCTGATTTAGTGTTCTCATTGAGCCAATAAGTGACTTTTTACTCACTCAAATAAATGACTAATTTGCATTACTTTTCAGACTGGCAGTTGATGGATGAGTGCGGCCTGAATCCTTTGGCTCTGTCTCTTCAAATCAAGAACAAAAGATGCAGGTTGTCTGTGATAAGCTTTGACCTATTTGGCCGAGTGAAACCAAACCCTGAAGCCTTAATTGCCGAGCTCAGGAGTGAAACTCCAGACTCAAGTGGGTCAGTGTGCTGTCTTTAAAATAAACGTATCAAGTAATTCTTAACTCATTCTCCTGCTTTTCTGTACTTGGAATTTATATGATAAGAAAGATTATTCTGTGGCATTATTTGAAGCCCTTTTCAAAAGAGTCATGATCTGGAAAATGTAATGTAATGTAACTATTTGTTTCTTGACCTCAGGTGAACTTTACCTGGCAAGATAGCCTTTGCAGCAAGCCTCAAACAGGGTCACACGCCACCTGAACTTCTTAAAGTTTTTCCGGACAAAAACCATACGGCTGTATCTCTGCAGCGTCATGGCGGCAATGTTCAGTAAACGGTCACGCTTCCCCTCCAACAGCTGATACAGCTCCTCCTTCAGGAAAATCTAAGATGAACACACACAAAGATTTTCAAATCTACATCAAACAGTATTTAGTTTTTCTTTAACCAGTTAATTAACCCATTGAGATGAAGATCTTTTTCAAAAGGGTGACCGGGCCAAGAGGGCAGCAGCACACGTCATTACATGTATGATCCATTAGATCTTATTATGTGCACGTGTATGAAGGAGGCTCACCTTACTGACTCCCAGCTGGTAGGAGCCACTCTTGACTGGACCGAGCCTGTGGAGCATGATGACACAGTTTTCTCCGTCTGCAGGTGGAGGATCCTTCAGGCAGAGCAGGGCTTTATACCTGTGTGTGACCAAACACATGTATTAAAATCAAACTCCAGCTTGAGTGTAGGAGCCTAAAGGCACTTCATCATGTTTATCTCATCAGCATGTGATATTTTAATGTCATATGTTACCAATTATTTACATGGTTAACGGCTTTAAATGCATGTAGAAGGAATATTTTTCTTATTTGCAGTATATAGATATTTATATTGTTAGAGTTTATATTCATAATGCACATGTATCTATCAAATCCATTAAATGTCACTAGTAGGTAAACTACATTGTTGTTTCCAACTAACTGCACCCCTTTAAGTTTCTCTGATTTTGCTGTCAGCAGTACGGTTATGTGCAGAGAAGTTCGAAGATGTGGAGCAAATGAGTGTTATGACAGTGAGGTAATGGAGAAAAAAATATCAAGCAACACGCATACACACTGCAACATGAAATCACTATACTGGGTCGGCACAGTGTCCGAAAAGGATTAAGGAGGTGAAAGTAATCAAAATCAGAACTGAAGTGACTTTCTTATGCTGACGCTCGAAGAAGAATGGAAAAGTTTGTGGAATGATAAGAACATTTGTCTGAACAGAAAACGGTAATAAATTGCGCAGTGGACGTTCAATGGAAATCAGAGAGGATGGCCCCTGATGCAGCCAGTAGTTTTCTAAACGTAATGGCTATTATCAGGGGCTGGGGTAATGGCGCCAAAATCTTCAAGGAGCCACTTAAATGCTGGGAAGAGAGGGTGTGAGGGGTCCTCAATAGTCCAGCCTGCTAGCCGGTTCAGGTTTGCTGCTCGTAGGTAGTTGCGATTTTTCTTACAGGGAGTCCAATAATCTCAGAGCAGACTGTGACAATGCTCTGCAAGTGGTTTCTGTTCTTGTAGGCTGGTGGAGTGGAACCAGCAAGTATTGGAGATGCTCTGGATGAAGGTGTAATAGAATGTCAGGAGGATGTTTTTCCTGGCTCCAAAAGAGTTTAGCTTCCTTAGAAGGAATTGCCTCTGCTGGCATTTCTTGAAAATCTCCTTGGTGTTAAGAGGAGAATTTCAGCAGGCTGTCAAATATGGTAGCTAGATATGTATACTCCTTAAGAAGCTCAACAGGCTTCCCGTTGATTGTGGTGGTAGCGGCTGCTGTTAGCCAGTTCCCTCTGCTTGCTGGAAAACGTCACCACCATCTCTTTGGTCTTGCTGACGTTCAGTTCCAGGCATTAACTGTCACACAACTCCACAAACTCCTGAAGAACTGGTCAGTGCTGCTGTGAGGGGGCCTGACAGCAGAGACAGGAGAACTGCTTTGTCAGCCTTCTTGACCAAGTGACAATTTGGCTGTGTGGATCTGCAGTCATCGGTGTAGAGGATGAAGAGCTGAGGTGAGAACACATAGCCCTGAGGGGAGCCAGTTGAGGTGTAGCAGAGGTCAGATAAGGTGTCGTTAATCTGAACTCTGTTGCTCAGAAAGTCCAGTATCTAGAGGTTTAGCTGGTCGTCCAGACTGAAGCAAGAGGAGAGTTTGACAGCCAGGTTATGAGGTTGCAGGTTGTTAAATGCAGAGTAGAATTCTGCAAATGGAGTCTTGCTGATTTATTGCTCCAGATGTTTGTGTACGGTGTCTATGATTAATGTTTCTGCATCATCAACGCCTCTGCCTGCTTGATAGCAAATTGGATGCTCTGATGATATAGTGTTTTATTACTCTCGCCGTTGCCTTCATCTGGAGGGAGGTGAGAGCCACAGGCCTGAGGTCATTCAGAGTTCTCGTGGGGGTTTTTCTTGGGGATGGGGATAACTGTTGAATGTTTTCACAGCTGGGGGAATGTGCTGCTGTTCATAGATGTCTGGAACAGGATCTGAAACAAGCCACCTAGCTGTTCATCACAGTGCCTCAAGATGCGGCCACTGATGTTGTTTGGGCCCAGGTGAGCTGTCCTCTGTGGTCCTGCTGAGGGCTCTCACCACATCCTATGTGTTGAGGGTGAGTGCAGAGTCACTGGGTTTGAGTTTGGACATTGTTTCTTCCAGCTGGGTGATGTTGTCTGTCTCCAATCTTGTGTAAAACAGGTTGAGGTTGTTAGGGAGAGATTAAGGGCTTCTGCCTGAAACTTGGATGAATTTGTGGTTGTCGGCCATGTTTTTGAGGCCTGGCCAAGCTGAGTGGAGATTCCCCTAAGTGATTTTTTCACTCACTTTGTTTTAATACTTCATTCTGGCAGTTTAAATGGCATGCTTGACCTTTCTGTTAGCCTCCTTTTTCTCAGTTTTAGAGCCTGGGAAGAAGACCCTCTTCTTCTTGTTGAGGATTACCTTAATCTTTTTGGTAATCCAGGCTTTATTGTTGGTGAAGATTGTGACTGTTTTGGAGTGGAAGATGTTGTCACCACAGAAGGCGATGTACTGTATGATGAAACAGTGTCCACTTGCTCGTTAATGTTGTTGGAGGGGGCTAGCTGCTTGATGTTCATCATAACTTTCTTTGCCCTCCTTATGACTGGAGTATAAGCTGGAGCAAGCAGGATGGTATGGTGGTCAGGTGGGAGCGCTACAGATCTGTATGCATCTTGAACTGACCATAGCATTTATCAAGCATCTTCCCCGGGATGTGTGTGCATGTGATGTACTGATGAAAGCCTTTTAGTGATTTGTCAGGAGAGCAATGGATGAAATCACCCTGGGAGAGTGCTGTGATGTGTGTTCCAGTCTGTTTAATGAGCTTGTGATATGTTCGGTGGCTGTGGCTATGGCCGCATTAGCTCTGGGGTGGATTTAAAGCAGGATGAGAAAAAGCTGTGGAAATTCTCTGGGGGAGATAGAAAGGGTAAAGGGAGAAAGCCAGAAGCCCGATGTCCATGGTGCACAGTTTATCCCTCATGACTATGGTCGAGCACCACTGTGTGTTTACATAGAGTTATCATCGTCGTTCTTATTTAACCACGTTTCAGTAAATGTAAGAAGAGAGGCAGTCCTGTTTTCATGCATGCGGTTCATGTTGGCTTGTAACTTTGTTTCACTTTGGAAAATTATTAATATTCTGTATCAGTTTTTTTTATTATCTAAGTAATCAGTTTTTTATCAAGTGGTCCTGTTGATTTTTAAGTCTGAAATACGAACAAGGGAGTTGTAACAGTGTCAAGCTAAGGCTTCATATAGTGGAAACCTACACAGAGGTTACTATGAATGACATTAAGAAAACTCCAAAGTTTCGTGCTGACTTGAAGTTGTTATTGGCTGTGAACCTGAATCTAATGTGAACCTAATTGATTGTGAATGACTCTGCCCTAAGTGACTGTAAATTAATCTAAACCTCTTTTTCAGTAACAGTCTAAGTCAGTCCACTCTGGCAGCCTGTGGTCATTGGTGCTGTGAGATCAATTGGTTTCAGAAGCTTTCCTGCTGCTGGAGCTGGCAAGTGCCAGATGACTAGTTCAGGGGAAAGAAATTAGTGTGTGAATTGTTCTCTTTCCAGAAAAAGACGATAATTCAAGCAATTTCGACAAGATGAAAATGGTGAGTGAGTGTTACAGAGAGCAGAAACCAATACTTTTTAGTTTAAAAAGCGGATCAAGAGGCTGGGATAGTAAATTTTTGTTTCTCTATAATTTAGTTAGAGGTTACATTTGTACTAATTTCTACTCACCTACAGTGTATGCACACAGCTGCTTTAAATCAGATATCGAGACTGTATTCAAGCTTCTGAGGCTCACCAACCCTCATGCTTTAAATGGCCTATATGTTACTCTACAAGTTTGAGTTCCCGCACCATCGACAATAAATCCACTACTCTACAAATAAAGCAAATCAATTGTTTTTGTAATTCGAATTGTTTTGGGCTTTATGTATTTCTGGAAAAGAAATCTTACAGTAACAGGAAACTTACCCTGCAAAAAAGCATATAACTACTGCACACCTAAATGTTCAAGTAAAACCATTGTTTTTACTGTCAAGAACTTCCTATGTATGAAACCAGTCTGTCCCACGTCCTTCAAAGCAGAAATGCTCAACCCTAACTGTTGAAAGCTTAGTGTTCTTCATATATCTTGTAATATATGAAAAATATCACAGACATGTTCACAAGACCAAAATCTTGATGGTCATTGAAGAGGCTCTTGAATGTGAAAAATGGTAGGTTTTACCAACCTTGATAGGAAGCTGTGAAAGTGCAATCTGATTGGATAACCCTCCTTCCTGATATGGATGGTCTCTATGATACCAGAGTAATGTAGCTGAGTGTTGACCAGCTTCATGTCAAACGCCCCTGGCTCCTGCACACACACATACACACATTACGCACATGAGCTGCATATTACAAAGCAATAACAACGCAAAATAAAATAAAACACTGCAAACCTGCACACATTATCCAACTTGCAAATATACCTTATGATGGTTTGGTTTGATGCATCGCACAAAATAAGGGTTACACCTGCCACAGATAGATGAGAACGAATGGATGGATAAATGGATGCATGATATGAAAAAGGATTAGTAAGTTATAGCTTTTCAAGGACAAAAACTTTCCATATCAAAGTAAATAAACTAATTAAGGACTGAAAATCTGTAGGGAATATTGTTAACAGTTAAAATACATATGAAGTGTTTCTGAGTGAAACACTCCCAGAGCTCTGCTTTCATCTTCAAGAGACATGATTGGCTTCAAAACAAAACAAAAACCATTATTAAGTTGCTTTTACAGACATTGAAACTGAAAGCTTGTATGTTTGAATTGATCTGTAATCTTATGATAAACGGGGGAAAGAAAATTGTTCAGAGCTCAATCTCTGTTCAGGCACAAGGACTGTTGACCCTCTCTGTTTCAAGATACTGTACAACAGTTCCTTTTCCTCTGTTCTTACTTCACAGTAAATTTTGCATAACTGGTATGTGTTACATACATAATTTATATGTATGCCTTCTCAGGAGAAATGTGCTGGTTAATGTGGGAATGTATGAGTGCAAAACATAGGAGCACACATTTCACACTTTCACTATGGAAGGCTAAATGACTTGAGGAAATGCCGATGCAGCACTAATGAGTGAAAAAGAAAAAGCTGTTTGGAACTAAATGTTTGCATTCCACTTTTTCCCCACTACTATCATAAACAGCTGTTAGATGTTTCCACATCATCTCAGAGGTTAAACTGGTGATGTTAATTCAAACCTTTCCATCTTCTCCAGCAGCTCCTGCAGGCTGCCCTGGAACTTTGAGCTGACCGTGTTGGCCTGATAACGGCGAGCTGCGCTGCTGCGCCGCACGTTAGACCGCTGCTGAGACACGGACTCTGAGTGCTTCAGGAAGAGGCTAGATATCATCTGCACACACACAAACACAGAGGACAGAGAGGTAAGCTGAAGTGCCAACAGTCAATCCTGACTATTGTCTTAAAATCAGCTGATAATTGTTGGAGTGAGTATTGAGTACATAAGGATTTTCAAACAGCAGAAGCACTTTTATATTTCACACTAGTTATACAACAATATACGACAATAATGACTTAACAAGCGCTGTTGATGGAGAGGTTAAAAGCACAAGTCCAAACATTCAGATGTATTACCTAACACTATCAACATTCTTAATCATAATGAAATGACGAATCATGACTCACGTTCAATTCCCCCATAATATTTGCTCTGCTTTCGGAAATGATGGGTTTGATCTACTGTTTCTACGGTTTCAATGAACTGAGCACCAGCAGCAAGTTTATTTCTGCTTTTACATAACTGCTGACCTTAAAAATGGGTTTGGCCATGTGATTATCATCAAATGTAGAGGTGTTTGGACTGTCTCAGAAATGTGATTACTTACAGCCAGGAGCTGTACATACACATACACATTTACATTTATCTAGTGCACTATATTTCCAAGGAGAAATGCATTGTATTCGAGATTTTAAAAAGTCACAAAGAAAATGATATTGACCCTGGGTATGCAAGTTTTTCAGTTAAAGCAACCGACAGCTACCCACTTTGAGTTGCAGAATGGGAGAACTGGTAACTGGTTCCAAACTAGAGGCATTGTGGTCACACGGTGAAACCCAAAGGTCACCTTGATATCTTATTGTTTTAATTAAAACACATGAATTCATGTTTTCAAGGAGTTTGTAAATATTTTACAGTTATAGCAACAGTGAATACTTCACCATTTATAATTGATTCTGACTCGTCTGTTCTTTAGGACTCTGACTTACAGTAGGAGAAGCTGCAGCTACTGCTGTTGAATTACAAGCAAGGAGCAAGGGTCTCAAAAGAGTGACATAATAAGAAGAGACTGCTGGCTTCAACATGTACTTGGCCATTAGGTGAAGACCAATTATGCCCTGTCTCTTCAGATGATGAAGCTGGTTACAATCACAACTGCAGGAAACAATCTTACTTTTTTGGTTCTCTCTTGTAATGGTTTGTGTAAAATAGAAGGAGGCTTATTTTATTGGCTGTCCATGCTTCACACTATTTTGTGCAATACAACAAACCTGCAATCGAACACCTTACGTAGGACACATTTCAAGGGCTCAAAAGCCTAAAAAAACTCCAGATGACAAATAAAATGTAATTCCCTTTGAGCGAGTTGATGGGACGTTTTTAACCTGCGACCCGTGCACTCCTAAAGAATCTATGTGTGATCTCCTTGCATGTAATGAAACTTGTTTAACTTTTTTGCTTCTCCTTACACTTCAGCATATTCTTTTAACCTCATGTTCTACCTCCTGAGACCCCTCCCCACCTCCAGTCTCACAAAGATAGCCTCCCGCTGTGAGGTGCATGTGTGAACAAGCAAGCCAGGAAGATTTCAGGGGCAGCCTGCCTGAAATTTTCAGGAGTGCACATGTGAAAACGGCTGAAGTGTTTTGCATATCTCACTCTGTTCTTGCTTTGGATGAAGAGGTCTAACACATCCTGGCGGACCATGTCAAAGTTCTTATCCAAGAATTTGTGCACCTAGAACACAAACAATTTGGAAAGAGTTTTAATGACACTCAAAGCATGAATTTCTCACGTCAGATTCAACATTTAAAAAAAACAAACGTATAACAGCCTGACACACACTGCATCAAACGGGAGAAGTACAAAGTGGCAACCGTCTTTCAAGGTTGCAAATGTAATTTAGAGGAGCTAAACACAGATTATTGGTTTCTCTAACATACCTTGTCTATCTGCATGTGTTGCTTCTGGCTATGCACAAGTTACAGTTGTAATATCAATGGTTGAGCTTTAAAAGGTCAGCAGCCACTGAGGTCAAGTGACAGTTTTGACTATGTAAGATGTCAGACTATGTAAAATGACTTTCACTGTTTCAAACAAAGTTTCCTCTCTGAATGGAGCAAGTGAGGGTAACTTGGAAAAAAGAACAGATGTTGATGAAGTGTTGAGTCGCTGAAAGCCCAAGAATGATTTAAGCCCTGATTATATTAATAATAATAATGTAAAAGAAATACCTACAGACATTAAGAGATCATCTTTTTTTAAAGCCATACAGAGGCAGAATTGTTTTCCTGATAACTGGAAAGTTTGTATGTGACATCTCTTATAAATACTGTGACACAGCTACCACCAGCTGAGTGCCTCTTTTTGTGTTGATTTGAGTAGGCAGAGAGAGAGAGAAAAAGAGAGAAGGAGAAATTGTGCTGATTTAATACACGGGTCTCAATGGTGTTAAATAGCACCACTGTAACAGCCTGTGGCACTTAGAGCTGGTCTTTGTGGATTAGATGGGATTTGCAATGAGGCTTATTTGCATTGGAAGAGGGTAATTTTCTACAGATTTTTTGAATATTCCCTAATTTACATATGCAATGGGGACAGGCGCACCCAAGACGCTATGTGCTTGGCAGTGCAGTTTGCGTGTGTTTCACCCTATGCACGTGCTTTGATGATTCCACGCTATTTTTCTCTCTCATTTGCACCCGCTTAGCGCCTACAAAAGCAGCGCAATGCTTAGTAGATCTGGCCTAATGTGCTGTGTGCCTGCCTGATGCACATTCTTGTCTGCTTTTATTGGGTTGTTTATTTTACTTTTTAGATAATTCTGCATAACCTTAACAGGAGATGCTGCTTATCGTCATCCAAGATTAAACCTACAGGGGGCCTCTGATCTAATTGTAACTTCAAACATATGATTTTTATGTTTGTGATAATTAGATATTTGCTCCTTGTATCTACAATTCTGGCACCACTGTAACCGCAAGTTGACTTTCCTGCAGATTTTCCAAAAAAGGAGAAAAAAATCATTTCTAAATCTACAGGGAAGTCCGCTGCTGTTCAGTCTAATCAAATCCCACAAGTTACATTATTACTGCAAACAGCTCGCAGACATCCTTCCTCACTCTCTGATGTATCATTTGATGTTTTCTTTTCCCCCCAGTAGACAGACAATTAAATAAAATCACTGTTATGTAATAAAAAATACTGATTTCCCTTGGTTTGAAAATTGTTGGGAACATATGATTACATTTAGGTTCACAACTCAACATGAAATAAAACACATGTCCTGACATTATGATGGGAACCATACATTCTATTAAAAGATGGATAATGTCACATCTCCCTTAAAGTAATATCAAAACATTTGGAGATCCCCTACTGACTGCAGCGTTTCCCACACTTGGACCATAAGTGTGTGAGTGTGTGTGTGTGTGTGTGTGTAGTTAAGAGAATGGAAGGGAAGTATTTGGTTACACACACTTAAGTAAGTTAGATAATAATGCCTAACATAAATACATAAAAAAGAAAGCTCCAGATGCATCATCATATTTATATACAATCCATGTGGGTAATAAATACATGTACCTGATATGTGACCTTCCCAGCGTAGTGTTTCAATGTGAACTCTGGCAGTGGCATCTTTGGCCTGGCATACAGCGGGTCATTTCCATGGTGATAGTGGCACTTCTGAAGGAAAGTGTGGTCCGTTGCCTAGTGATAACCAAGAGACGGTTGAGGGTTGGTAAGCCATGGAAACTTAATCTTTATAGCAGAAACACATGTTGTCTGTGTCTTTTCTACAGATTGCCTCAGCCTGTTACTCCTGTAACACTGTGTACATATTTCACTGTATAATATGTTTACATTAGGAGCTGAGGGAATAACCATAAAAGCAGGCAGGCAATTAAGTGAACATGTTGGGTTAGTGTTGTATTGATCTGAGCTGGCTGTAATACACTCCAGTCTCCAGGTTTTATGAGAAATCCAATAAGTGAGATGAGTTTTTTTTTTTTTGTTCAAACTGGTGTATGAAATATTTGAGTTATTGCCAGCTGTTGCTCTTTTTACACAATACACCTGAATAATTTAGTTTTGTCAAAGGTGTCCTGATATTTATTCTAGCTTTGTTTTAATTACACATGCAGTCTGTCTCAGCTGATTAAATCTTTAACAAGTTTTCGATGGAGTAATGAATTTTTAACACCCTAAGCCTTAATTAAATAATCAATCTTTCAGTAACATTTTGTATTCAATATTACATTTAAGTAATTTTAATCTTTAAATGAATTAGGCTCGACAGGTGTGGTGATTGTACCTGAGGGAAACCGCACTGATCGTCCAGTATACGCAGTATCCCATGAGGCTTTGCAGCAATGAGGTCAAGGCAGGCCTGGTTGTGGCTGAAGGGCTGCTGCTGCCACTGGATCTGCTCCCGCATGTACTCCTCCTACACACACAGCACACAGCACAAGTTCATCAAGTTGCTGTGTGAGATACTCTTCTGACTTTACTGTTGCTTGTTTGTTTTTGTTTTTTACAACAAAATAATGTTTCCTCTGTATTTTTATTATTGAATGACCCAAGGGTTTAGGAAATCAAATCAAGTTACAGACGAGATGTTTATTTTTACTCCACAAATAATCTTTTCTAACTTCCAAAAACAAAACAAAGGAAAGGTACAAAGATCAAGACATTTTGATTAAACATGAAGTATTTTCAAAGGTTACGATAAAGTGTAGTTTTAACACAAATGATCACAATCTATTTTTTTTTTTTTTACTTTAAAAGGCACACATTGTTTACCTGCTCTGTAAATCCCAAGCCACTTCTAATATGTCATCTCTCCCTTAATATTGACCTAAATTAAATTCTAACAAACCTTTTCTGTGTCTTACAATGCACTGACAGTTTGTAAGGAGAGCTTATAGGGCATCTTCACAGCTCGACAGTGTCTGATTATGACTTTAAGGCCTGTAGACAACAATTTTATACTTTTTAAGGCTTGATAGTTCAAATTATTTTCCTTTCAGCTTGTCTAAAAAAGGAGGTGTACGAGGCCAAGAAAAAGTCTTCATTTCCCTGAGGAAATCAGTTTTCTCATCTTCCCTCCTTGATTCCTCACATTCTTGTTTACACACAGTGTTTTAACAGATTATTGTTGAATGCTGACTTTGACCTGATAAATCAAATGTATGTACACTGAATGGCTGTGTTTCTTAGTAGCTTGGTTATATCTGATAACTTTGGATCAGTTTGACCTTAACTGTATATGCATATCTTTATAAACAAATCCATCCTCATTGGGAAAATAAATATGTTGAAGTAATGGAAACATTAAGTAGCAGTTTTCCTGACCTGCTCCTCCTGGAAGATGACCCTGTTAAAGTAGAACTGCAAAGTTTCGTTGGCATAGTTGATGCACAGCTGCTCAAAACTGTTCACCTGTAGCTCCTGGAGGATAAAAAGGAGGGCACAGAAGGGGGGTGTGGGAGTAATTGAGCACAGGTTGGCTCAGACACATCACACTGTAACATTAAAGAGAAATCATTATTTATCTTGACCTCAAATCCATAAATGTCCAATATGGAGATAGAGAGGGCTTCGTTGCGAGGGTAGACCCTTCCGTTGATGCGCTCTGTCAGCCAACTAAACAGCAGCGAGTAGAGGATCTTGGCAACGGCATCTCTATGAAAAAAACACACAATAAGGTTTCTATGGAAACAGAAAAACTGGTTCCTATGGAAACAGAGGACATCTGAAAAATCTCTCCCCAAGCCCCGACATCCTTTGTCCTCGCATGCCTCCACTAAAGATTTGGGGAGAAAATCAAAGACTCCTTACTCCCTCCCAGTAGTCTCTTGATAGGATTTTAGAGAGGGTGGGGAAAATCAGGACATTAAAACAGCCTCAAACACACTTTTATTTTTTGTTATTCCAGGCAGAAGTGGACTTTAGTATTTAATCTGGCACAAACTGTAATCAGACTGTAACTCACTGACTCACCTGGCATCCACAGCACTCTCAACTGTAAGCGGAGTGAGGATCTTCTCTCTTACTGTATCCTGTGGGGTTTAGTCACATCTGTCATCTCACAACATCTCTTAATTGTTACAACTTAATGACTTGTTTCTATGGTGTACATGTCTGGGTCTTTTTTTTAATGAAAAGTGACTCAGCTCACAGTCATCTTGAAGGTGAAAGACTTCTGCAGGCCGTCAGGTGAGACCTGCAGTAGCTCGGCGACCACTCGGAGCTCCTGAGTGCTTACTACCGACGCAACCTCCTGACCCTCGGCCTGTGGGGAAACACACCCACACATACGGAAGCATGCACATTCGTTATTACCATCATTTATCAGCATCATCATTATCAGTCAGTTGAGAAATGAAACGCATTAATGTGGCCTATTACTTTCAGCTTGTGTGTGTGTGTGTGTGTGTGTTGGTGTGTGTGGAAGAAAGACCTGATGTGGCTGAAAGTAGACATTCCCTACATGGAGGACAGAGGACAACAGCCTGTAGATGCCGTTTAGCTCCTCTGGGGTGAAACATAGGATGTCCATGGCACTCAGCAGACGCCTAAAGTCCTCCCCATCATCTTTGCCCTCTATGGTACAATCCCCTCCCTGCACTCATGAACACACAAAATAACACACACAGTTATGAAAGCAACATAATAACCCTCAGCTTCTTAAATCAGGGCTCTAATTAAAAAGAAAACTTATAAGCAGTGGAATGTTTTTTTTTTTGATGACCTTTAGGGGTTTAACTTCTTCCCTTGATAAAGATATGTAGAATTATACCACAGATAGTCCTCCTGACCAAGTATTTTGATTGAGCAAGAGGCATTCCTTGACTGCTTATAGACCCTTTGAGTGTTACTAAACAGTGTGATGTGTTTTGGTGGGCGGAGCTTAGCTGTAGGCAAAACCATCCTCCAGACATGTTAGCCAAGGCCAGCTAGCAAGTTGTTTTTGGCTCGCTTTTTTTATTTTATTTTTTAAGATTTTTATTTTTGGGCTTTTTATGCCTTTAATGGAGAGAGAGGACAGTGGATAAGAGTCAGAAATCAGGGAGAGAGAGTGGGGAACGACATGCGGGAAAGAAGCCACAGGTGGGATGTGAACCCGGGCCGCCTGCTTGAGACTACAGCCTCCATACATGGGGCGCGCGCACTAATCACTGTGCCCCCGTTTTTGGCTCACTTTTGACAATGGAAGATAATGCGAGTCTTCCTAAATATGAAGTCACTTACTCTCCGGGACCAAGAGCGTTACTGGAGTAAGACTGACCCGTGCGCTCTCCCTCAGTGAATAGATGATGATAGGACTGCCAGAGGTGGAACAGCCAGACATTCACACTATTCTGATACAACACCTATGTGTGTAGTAAAGACAAACTGAGGGTGTATAAGTCCTAAGATGCCTATTACTATGTTGTTAACAGCCATGTACCAGATCTTAAATACCATGATTTAACTAATGAGTTTTTTGTCGTACTGTTGGAAGTTCTGCCCAACCAGCAAGTACAGAAGACAGCCATGTTCAAGGCTTGGTTCACTTGAAAAAAGCCATTCAGAACCCCTATAAGCTCTGGAAGTCCTTGCCCAAGGACATTAGGCTGTCCAACTCCTGTACCTGTTTTTAAACATTTGCTTAAAACACATTTTTTTAATGATTGATTGGTTAGTCTTGTTCTGCTCTATTTTATACATTTTTTTCCTATTCATTATTTTGTAACTTGTTTTTTTATACTGTGTATAAAGTACTAACTCAAACAATGCCCCTAACACAGTCAACACTCGGAGCAGTCAGCGACCTGTCATGCACTTCAGCATGCTGAAGCAGACAAAGGGAGTGAGCATGGCCCTCAGCAGATCTCTTAATTACACAGTTGTGGCCTGATTAGTTGACGGCAGGAAGTAGGCCCGAAAGAGGAAGTGTGATCTACAACAAACATGTTGTTGAGGGGCAGTGACGGCTGGTATACGATAGAATTTCAGTTTCCTGAAATTAATGTTACTACTACTTCTATTCCCAACAAGAAAACAAAATGACATTTTCAAACTTCTAAGGCGTTTCCCACCCTGTGGTGGGGATTAGTGTTTCCCTCTTACTAATAGCGTGAATAGCGTGACGTCATTGTAACACTGCCCCTAAAAGAGTCTATAGAACAGCATCACTGGGACTTCACACTCTGTATATCCCTCTGCCAGTGGTTCTGAATATTGCTCGTAAATAATACAGCAGACAGTGTTCGTCTTTATTAATACATTTGGTACCTCTGAATCACACAAAGGACTCTTATTTCACGGGTTTCTATAATAAATCAATCACATAAATGTAGATACAAAGTAGCTGGTATGCTGAAAAGTGTAAACAGGCAAGTTTGTGGAGAGGGCAGGGGAATATTTGGGTTGCTTGGTAGTTAGTTGTGGAACTAGTTGAGATAGTGGAGCAAAGATAAAAACATTTTCCACGCTGTTTTCTTCAAGATCCTGGTCGTAGAACTGAAATAAAATTTACATCACACCCATGGTCGTCTTCTGAACTCGACCTGTGGCTGTGGACCAACGACCCAATCACAGCAATGCTGATATTCAGTACAACTTCACTCCCTCTTGTGTGATATTACTTAAGTACACCTGTGACATCACTGTTGCAAAAAAAAGCAAACTTCTGACCAAACTGTTAACCAGAGAAGGCAATGAAATACGATATATTTCAGTTCAGTGTTATATTAATATTAAAGAGTTTAGCCTGAGGTGTTTGTAGTAGAAGTAACCAGAAACGCACACACCAGTAACAGTGAATTTAAGGGCCTTTAACCAGATGTGGCAGGAGAAAGGCTTTGCTTTGTGTTTCATCATATCTCATGAAGCCAAAAAGTCTTTGGAGAGGAGAATGAGATGTTCAGCATTCTCCAGAGCAACCTGATGGTCTGTATGCAAGGTAACGCAAGATTAATTTACTTTGACCTAAACAGTTACGTAATGATAACATGTAGGATTTTGGGTACAATGTTTATCATATTTAGATAAGTAGCGTAGGTTATTAGCTTATTTGGCAATTGCTACCAGGTTAATGGGGATATCGTTTGTTCTGATGAGATTAAAAATGAACATGACAAATAAAATCCCTCTCTCTTTTTAAACCAGCACTCCAGAAACATACAACATATAGACAGATAGACATAGACATTGTTATCTCTCAGGTCGAAAGAATCCAGACTGCAAAGGCCCCTCAGTCTGTACCCGGTTACTCCAATGACTTTTAAGTTTGTGACATAAATCACCTCGTAAAATAAATGTCACATTTCCAAAACAATTGGGAATCTAATTTGTTAAAGTGACTGTGAAATTGATTACAATGACCACTCCCTATCAGTGCTCTGTGTGTGTGTGTGTGTGTGTGTGTGTGTGTTTGGGGGGGGGGTGTATAATATATTTCTCTGCGCACCTGATTCAGATAGTAGTAAGTCTCAGCCTCCTGTAGATACAGAGAGCTCTTCTCATGAGGAGGAAGACCTGCCAACATCTCGTAGAAGATGTGATAGTTTCTTTCTGATTTGGCCTGTGTATAAAAAACACACACGTTAAGAAAAGATACATTTTGCATATTTAAATGAAAATTGAAATAGACTTTAATGGGTGGACATCAAGATAAACAAACAGATCATTTTATGAATTACCTAATGAATTTGGTCTGTGCTGGATTATTGAGAACTAAAATGGTATGCAATGAATACAAAATTTGGCAGAAAAGAGATACAGATATTTTAAATTATTTAAGAGAGAGAAAGAGAGAAAGAGAGAGGGGGAAGCAGCTAAAGGAAGGAAGTGAGACAGAGATAAAATACAGACACAGGTAGTTAACAGAAAATGAACAGTGCAAAACTACACTAAACTGTTTTTGAATATGTGTATTGTGTGTGTCTATGAGTGAAAAATAATAATAAAAAAAAATATATATATTACAGTGAACTTCTGGTAACAAATATACTCAAAAAGTGCATAAAATAGCATCAAAATACAGCTTTTATTGAACAAATTCTGAGAGGGGAATCCCCCAGATCTTCACCCTAAAAGGTCTAATGATGTCTTCATATTTTTGCACATTACAGTCAGTATCAAATCACTACCACCGTCTCTATTTAAGTCCTGTTTTGAGTTTTACTGTGCAACATATGAAAAATTATACGTTTTTGCAGAAACAATTGTCAACGCTCCCTCCCAATTTCACTCATACAGTGTGAGCTGTCCGGCCGTGCTCGACAATTGGGTCGTACAGTGTGAGCACATAAATTGCAAGGTCTGGTTGTGCGTTGTAAACGATTCAGTCCTACAGTGTGAGCTGACATGCCACCTCGACTTTTATACAATTGGGGAAAAATCGCACAGTGTGAGCCAGGCTTTAGTAAAATTCTCAACTTTTGAGAGAATTTTGATGAGAGCCCCATCATAATCTCACCTTTGGAGCCAAAATATCCTGAGCCAGCCCTGCTCTCACATCTGTTTTAATTTATCAATTTAAACCCCAGTATATATATTGGGACAGGGTTGCCAGGGATATGCCGATTTTCCCCATCCCATAGTTGGCAGGTATGCGCTTCTGCAATCTCCTGTTTCTCACCCTGACACCTGAGGTAAAAAGAATCCATCTGACCTGCTGTTCATGTTAGCATGTGTGTGTTAAAGTCCTTGTGTGTGAGGTTGTGTGAGTTCTTCACCTGAAAGACGATTCGAGACTTCTCCAAAAGGTACTGAGACGTTATGGCACCGCTGATAACACCCCTTGGAAATGACACACAGACGTATGTCCAAGTTAAGTAACAGGTCATGCATGTGTAGTTTCTCCAGTCTTCTCTAACAGAAAATCAACTACTGATCCATATGTGTTACTGGGGATTTGTCAGCACATGCTTTTCTGAGCCTGCACTCTTTTGATGTGTCAGTTTTAACAAAAAACAACTATGCTTGCACAACATTGAACAAGCAAAGCAGAATCTTAAATATGTTGTCTGTTTATTTTCTTAGTAAGTTAAATATCTTAATTTGTTTTAGTAACATGTTTGAAATAATGCTATCAATCAGTCAATCTCTGAACATGAAACCCCTTGAAAGCTCATACTGTAACTGCTGTGGGTGTCATTTGAGTTGCTCACTACAAACATGGGAGTTTTTTTTACTCACCCCTCCATGAAGATCTGTGTATACTTGCCAAAACGGGAAGAGTTGTCATTGCGCACTGTTTTGGCATTCCCAAAAGACTCCAGCAGGGGCGTGGCCTCTAGGATCTGACCAAAGACAGACATGTTACCATGGCAACTTTAAACAGGTGTATCTTCTTAGGTCAAAAAATATGTATAAATAAAGTAGAGCAACACTTTACCTCTATCTGGTGGAAGAGATGGTAGAAAAAGCGAGAGAAAAGAAATCAGTAACAGTGCTAGCTTAAACGAGCACAGTATGAGATGTATTTGTGAACAAGCATGAACTCATGAATAAATAATGTACAGAATATCTACCTGTTGTGTGACGTTGCTTTTGTGATGTATGGCTGTCAGGTAACGCAGGATCAGTTTAGTGGCTTCAGTCTTTCCTGAACCACTTTCTCCACTGTTACAACAACAACAACAAAAGTTACCCTCAGTCTTTCTCTCATCCTTTTTTACATCATCAGTTTAACATTTCAAATCAAATCCATCCTTATACTATTTTGAAATTACTCCTAAAGGGGAGGTTACATCTTAAATAAATTCAATCAAGAGCAGAAATTAGTCTAAAACACTTAATTAGCAATTCACTTTTAAGGACATCTGAAAGTAGGGGTCTGCCAAAATATCGATTTCCCAACAAAGTATCCTGACTCAGTAATACAAGTATCGCATTGCTGCTTTCAAAATTGTTTTTAATTTAAATAATGGACAGACTTGAAAAGAAGTTCAAATATTTGTGGTGAAACAGCCAACACATATTTTGAGAACACAACGAGAACAATTTGAACAAAAGTGGGAAAAATGGACGATGTACAGATCCCAGAGAAATGACACCATTAGTGAAAATGTTAGTGGATAGACAAATATATGTTTGTGACTGTAAAAATAAGATGTGTAAACTCCAACAGTGCTGTTATTTTATTTGTTTCTAATTTTGCTTCATTTTTTGCATGTGTAAAATGTTTGAGAAAATGCAATAGAAGAGAGTTAAAAAAAGAAGTTCAAGTATAATGAATGATATAATAGGTGAAACTAAACCTAAATTTCAGTGAATAAATATATACATTCTGCATTTAAACTGCATTTAAAAGTCTTCATTTATTCAGATGTTGTGAAGTGTCATCGTATGATTCTCTTGCAATACATGTAACATGATATTATCTTTTTTGTGGACACGCACTGTATCGTATAGCAGTGCCTTGCATCAAATTGTGAGTTAACTGGCGATTTCCACCCCTTGTTGTTGTTTATAACAATTCCAAATAGTTAAAACAAACTTTAATTTGAAGGCCTTATTTTGCAAAAAAGATACAATCTTCAACAGTTACAGGATTTCATACCTGATCACAATACACTGATCCTTTTTGGCATCCATCATGGTAGTATATGAGAGATTAGCAATGGCAAAAAGATGACTGAAACACAAAAGAATACATTTCTAATATATTAAAACATTGAAGTTCATTGGTTGTGTGTTTTTTGTGTGTGTTTGTTTTCCTGTGTGTGTGTGTGTGTGTGTGTGTGTGTGTTTTCCTGTGTGTGAAGTGGCACTGAAATCCATAACCAAACTCTCCCTTGGCAACAGACCAACAGCAGTGTAATAGGAGCCTCTTACGAACACCTGAGAGTGCTGACATTTACACCTTTTTTAACGACCAAACTGTATCTAAGAGCACAGCTTTCCACACATGTAGACCGATGAGGTACCACAGAACCATCCCACAGATGAACACACAAAGAAAAGACTTAAAGGTTATAGATAAAGGTTAGAGAGTTTTCTTGGTATATCCTTTCTAAAAGCAAAAGAAATCAATAAAACTAGTGCCCACACAAAGGCTGTGTTTGCTCCACATTGGGACTGAATTGTTTTTAAAATACAAATAGTCTCAACAAAAATTATATGGATATAAAATTGTTTTCGAATAAGTGGTCCATTAGAAAAAAATCAAAATGTTAAAAGCATGTTTTATGTTAAATTATTTTAAAGTACGTTCTCTGAATAAAAAAAGACTAACTTCTCCTTTCTCTCTTATAAGAAAGAGAGAAAACTGAGTTCTGTTCCCAATGCATGGACCAAAACTTGCTGGAGGTGTTAGTTCATGCACAGATTGCCAAGATCAAAGACACACACACACACACACACACACACACACACACACACACACACACACACACACACACACCAATACACACACACTCCTGGGTCTTACGGAGGGTTGTCACTCAGGCCGTGGCCCTCGTACTGAAGAACCATGTCTGTGCCATAAATGTTCAGCAGCTTGTAGGGATTCACAGACACCAAGATGCTGCCTATATAAGTCTGTGTGGATGAAAAAAAGAGAAACACATTTTTTTTAAATGAGAGAAAATAAGCATTCACAACATTTGAAGATATTAGCTATTTCATTTGCTTAATTTGATTTGAAATTAGCCATACATATACAAGTTCCTGGTCGTAACGCTTCTTCAGGTTCATCAGAACTGTGGTCTCATTCAGCTCACTGAAATTAAACACAGAGGAAATTTAACTTACATGTATAGAGCACATATTGTCACACCGAAGTACGGTCCACACGTTCACATGACATTTAATTTAACTTTTTCATTTTCCCTTTGAAAACCTGCTAAAATTATGGATTGTCAAATTAAGTCTGTCTTTCCCCACTTAGGAGCATTTCTGGAAAGACATGAAAAGGCACAATGGGCCAAAAACACATACAAACAGTGTAATATTTTGCCTGTATTGACTTAGTATGCATTGAAATTAGCTCGGCTGTTCTACAATGGTGCAACCAAATGCTTGTAAGAGTGTGCCATGAATGAATGAGCTGTGAGGCTGTTTGTTAATACTGGATCTGGCTTACGGCAGCTGTGTCATGTCCTCCATTCCCTCTGCCCAGTTTTTCACCCTGTGGCCTGTTGTGGGCATGCTAAGGATAGAGTAGATCTGAACACACACACACACACACAGACAGGCAGACAGACACAAATAGTGGCTTGTAATTAGTCCAACACTGTCACGCAACAATGTCAAAGCTTGTAATCACTTGATCCAGAGCTGATTTCAAAATGCAGAAACTCAAATATTCTTGTTTGTAAACTGTACTTGAACATTTGTGTGAGCAATCCAACATCTTTATTGTATGTTCGTATTCAAAGGAAGAGATAGTTAAGGCAACCTTTTAAGACACATGTGAAAAATAGGAATTCATTAACTTTGGTACCTTGTCATACCAGCTTTGACCAGGTACTCTCTCTCTCTCAGGAGTCCAGTTTGTGTCCAGAGGCTGTCCATCCACACCTCGAGGTGAAGGTGAATATCCTTCCAACACCCCATCTTCTCTGTACATGGACCACTTTGACAGATTCTGAACCGTCCCGTGTGGTAAAACCCTCTCAGCTGCCCAAACATCTTCCCCTCCTTCCCCTCCACCACAAGCATTCCTAGCCCAGTGTCCTGAGCTAGGCCCATAGGGTGGAACCACAGCATAGCGATTATCCTCTCCCTGCAAGCCTATTGGCACCCTGTATGAGGCATAGCGAAGCTGCTGGTTTTGGATGGCATTAGACAGGCTTGGGTTGTGAAACCGACGGGTAAGAAGAGAGCCATCTGGCAACCTGTGGAAGAAATAATTATTTAAAAAAATAAGCACAAGTTTGTACAACATTTGCTAACAATTTTTTACACTGACATTGATTTTGTCTTTATCATAAAATTATTTCCAGAGGCTAAACGTAGCAACACTGATGCTTTGAGAATATAACTAAAGAAACCTAGATGGTGCAGTGCAAGTGAGAGCTCCAAGTTGTCGTAAAAAACCTTGTCAATAAAGTTATTAGCCAACTTGACACTTCCAACATCAGATACAGTGTTGTTTGTAACCAGTTCCAGTTAGAAAATGTATATAAATTATGAACCTTTATTGTGCTTTTGTAATATTTCTATGTGTCGTGATGTTGTGTGTTGACTTTAATCTGGACTTTGAGTCTGTAATAAAGTTTGGGGAAAGTGTGTAATGATTCATTGACAAATGACTATCAAAACTCTGGCATTGATATTAGGGGGTAGTGGACATTTTTTGATGTTCTCTCATATTGAAAACAACCCTAGTTGCTGCCTTAATATCTAGTTAAAAAAAGAGATAAAGCCAGAATGTCAAAGACCTGAGAGCACAGGTGGATGAGCAACAGATGAAGCTGCCTTCAAGAAAGGTAAAACAGAGAAGTAATGTAAGGAGAAAGTGAATGCAAAAGGGAGTTTTAGTTCCTAGTCTGCTATTGAATTTAGTTTCTGGACCCATTGGAACATTTTGGTCAGATGGGGCTATTGTTTCATTCACCCTTGATTAAATGTTAATGTCTAGCTTGCAGCTTGATTTCTCAATAGGTAATTCTGTGCCACACCTAGACAAGACAATAAGGTCATTCTCTGCCCTGGTTTCCTTTAATAAGGCACATTGTGGTTTCCTACCTGAACTGGAAACCTTGGAGGTCGTCTTTCTTCAGTACACGGCTAATGTTTGGAGTGGATGGTTTGGGGGCACCAGAGAATACAGAATTCTGTGACAGATTATAAAGTCCAGTAGACCGCATTGCCTGGTTGTGCCTCAGGGCAGCAGTAAGGTTAGGAGTGGATGGCTTCTGGCCTGGAATAACCAAGGAACCATCAGAGAGCTGGAATGAAGCATTGCGAAGGTTCTCATTTGCAAGAGCCTGCAGAGCAAGACAACAGGACGTTATCATCCAAAATAAGACTTTTCTAAATGTAGCTAATTATTAGCAATGAACAACTTCAATATTAAAGGTACATACTTTAGATAGGTCAGGGGCAGTTGGTTTTCGTGGGTCAATGATGATGGTTCCATCTGGCAGTGTGTAAGAGACACCCTTTAGATAAGGATTCTGCAGGGCAGCGGTTAAGTTGGGGCTTTTGGGCTTCCTTGGATCTACTATAATAGTTCCATCTGGGAGGGTGTAAGAAGCTCCTTTCAGGGCTGCGTTATTGAGAGCCTAAGGATTACAACAGTTTGTTTAATTTCAGGTCAGCACATGGGTGTTAAAGTCATTGTGGGACAGGTCCCACCCACTTTTTTAAATCATTCATTTGGACGTCCTCACTTTTAAGAAGTCATAAACATAGGGCTTTTGTTGCTTCAAACTGCACTATTTCAGAGCACCTTCAGGCAAATTCAATCCACTTTCTAACTGATAAAATGCATGAAACTCCGGACCACGTTTTACTGCTGCCATGAAATCCATTCCGTTTTTCAGTAGGAGAATACCCATATCATTGAAACTGCATATCAGGTTTCACTGCTTTTCACTGAGACGAGCTCCACATCTATTTAGATGTTGGAGAATGGTTCATCCGTAGCTCATAGCCTAGTTTTGTTTACTTACAAAGTCTCTGACTGACAGCATGCTCACTGTTGGGTAAGAAAAGTGCTAGACCCCCCCCCATTAAATTGTCCCAACCACTGTTTTATGCGTCTGACACCCATGGGTCTGTATGAGAGGTTCAACAAGTACAATTCAACAATTATGAGAAAAATTCAACTTTGTATAATTAATTAGCAATAATATGCAAACAAGTCATGAATTAATGTTAGAACTCTTGTAAGGAATGTGTGCAATTAGCAGTCTAAAGAATTACCTTTGCTAATCATTACCTTGTTACGATTTTTATCAATTCAGGCCTGCAATGTCAGTCGATGATTGTGTCATTAGCCAGGGCTTTAGCCCCTTCTAGTGGCTACTACCATACTGCAATAAAGATATACTACCCTGATGTAGACCAGCATAGGGGACGGATGGTATCTAGACAGAGATAAAGTGTATTGCAGGCTGTGTCAGTTTAAAAGGCATATAACTACTCAATTGGAGCAATGTGTTACCATATTCAGCCCAGGCAAGTGGACGTTACCCTAGCAGAAGGACTGAAGGCTGGCAGTACTAGCACTGCGATCATTACCCACAATCAGCAAACAAACTGATCTTCTTTACCCATAGACACAGTGGTCCTCTGTGTAGCCAAGTTAACAAATTATGCTTAATTGTATGTGTGTTTCTGAGTGTTTTCTTAACTTTAGACAACTCCAATAGTTTGAATTCAGTTTGCACACAATCTACTTTAGTCACCTATGAACATTCTTACACCTGTGCACCTCTACACATGTTCAATCGTGTAGATAAGAAGGGAGAAGTGAACATAAGCACAGGCACTATAGCAGATACTTGAAAAGCAAGGGTGAAACAGAGAACACATAGAGTCTGTATAATAGCTAACCTTAGCAAGGTTTGGTGAAATTGGTGTATTTGGATCTTGAACCCCTTCTGGAAGTGTGAAGGAGGCATTGCGCAGAGCAGAGTTTTGAAGGGCGCTGGAGAGGTCAGGAGAGACAGGTTTCCGTGGATCAATGATGATTGTACCATCTGGCAAAGTGTAAGATGCACTCCTAAGGTAAGGGTTTTGCAGTGCCGCTGAAAGGTTTGGGGACTTTGGTTTCTTCGGATCAATTACAATGGTACCATCAGGTAGAGAATAGGAGGCTTCACGTAGTGCTGCATTGTTTAGAGCCTTAGCCAGGTTTGGGGAGATGGGTTGCTTTATAATCAGAAACAGCCAAGCAAAAAAAAAAAGGCAAACAAAAGAAAAACCATCAGATTAGACATTCTAAACAATGAATAGATAAATGGTATCAAAAGTAGGTACATTCAAGTAAAGGATGAGTATTTGGTTACTTGTTGTCTAGGGTCGATAATGGTGCCATCAGGGAGGGTGTATGTAGCACTCCTGAGATCCTGGTTCTGTAGAGCTTTTGAGAGGTTAGGAGACATGGGCTTCTGGGGTACACGTGGGTCCTGGGACGGTCGGAGTGGTATAGGAAAATAGAGCAGTCATAAAAAATGTTTTGGTATCTATATGAGAACGAACGTTTATGTCAGGTTGTATTTATTTTGAAATGTTCATTTTGTACCTACCCTGATTACTGATCCATCAGGCAAGGTGTATGAGGCTCCACGGACTTGTTGGTTTTGCAAGGCATGTCCGAGCAATGGGGAGGAAGGTGTTTCTAGGTATGGTGACACCAAGGTTCCATCTGGCAGCCGGTAAGATGCCTGCATCATCTGCGGGTTTTGCAAGGCCCTTCCTAACATTGGTGAAGAAGGTGGCTGGGGTCTATATGGGGATTGTCTGAGTTGCATAGGTGTCTGATAAGATGCTTGGCGAAGATTTGGGTTTTGTTGAAGAGCATGGTGGAGCTGAGGGCCAGCTGGTTTATAGGGGTTACGGCGTCCCATCATAGGCGATCTTAAGTGTGAGACATTGTGCAATCCAGACCGATTTTGAAGTGCATCATAAAGCAGTGGGGCTGGGCCAGGTTCAGAAATATAATCATATGGAGTAACAATGGTTGGTCCATATGGTGAACGGAGCATTGGAGTCTGATAAGAAGCAACACCTCTCAGGGCCTCACCATGTCTCATGGCTCCAGAGAGTATTGGGGATGAAGGCACAGATGCTGTATATGGGGACTGAGGCCGTTGAAAAGGAGACAGATAGGAGGCATCTCTCACTGCCTGATTTTGCAGAGCCCCAGACAGCATAGGGGAAGAAGGGGGCATTGGCTGCTCATAGGGGGACATTGGTCTTTGTAAAGGAGAAACATAAGATGCATCATGTATAGTTTGATTTTGAAGAGCTTCAGACAACATTGGAGATGAACGGGCCATCGGCTGCTCATAAGGAGACATTGGTCTCTGCAATGCAGAAACATATGAAGCATCCCGAATAGCTTGGTTTTGCATTGCATGAGAAAGCATTGGTGATGAGGGAGCATAAGATTCTCCATATTCGGCAGCCATCTCACCTATGCCTACCATCTGGGTTGGCTGTGGACCGAGAGGCGAAGCAAAAGAGGCCTGTCGAATGGCCTGGTTTTGTAAAGCACCAGATAACATCTGCGAAGAAGGGGCACTGAACTGCTGTGGCTGGTCAGAGTAGGAATCTGCATATGGGCCAGGTGCATATGTTTCTGGTGCATAAATAGGTGAATGGGCAACTCGAGGCGACAGTAGGGGAGAGGACTGGCGAGAAAGTTGAGGAGAGAAGATTGGGGATGCAGGGTGTGGCATGTGTTTCAGGGAGAGCTGTGGAGAGGCGGGAGGCATCCTTCCTATAGACCGCTGTGCCATCAGGGGCCGACCTCGAGCCACTGGGCGAGGAGCAAACCGGCCAGATTCTCTCCTACCCAGGGGAACACGGTGGACCATATGTGGTGAGTGAAAGGGGGAAGAAAGGAGAGAGGAGTCTATTGTGAGAACAGAAGATCTATTGCTTCGAATGGAGGAGTTACGAAATGGACGCACATTTTGGGTTGGTGGGGGAACTGGTCGCCCTCGTAGACCCATAGGAGAGGGTCTGACCGTTCCTAAGGGAACATTTCCCCCCATCCTAGGCCGAGCCAATGGTGTGGGGTCCCTTAGCAATCTTGTTGAGCGCCGAGAGAGAGTAGGAGAAGACCGAGGACCTGCTGGGGATACACTACGAAGAGTTTTGGAAGGAGAGGGGGATTGTCTTCTACTAAGATGTGGAGAAAGACGGGGAGATGCATGACCAGGGGATAAAGGAGGGGAGGTTGGCCCTGGTACCTTTCTCACTCCAAATGGGCTACGGGTTGGAGTGGGAGAGGGCGGTGGACTTCTTCTTCTAATTGAAGCACGGGGTGAGGGAGGAGGAGAGCGTTGCCTCATTGATGTCCTTGGTGATGGTGGAGGACTTCGCCGGATCATGGATGCATGGGGGGAGTGAGGGGGTGAGCGTCTTCGGGCAAGTGGAGATGGCGATCTTTGAGATTGCATTCTTGGATGGGAAACGGGTGAGGCCATGGGAGAGTGAGGAGGTGGGAGCCGTCTTGACATAACAGAAGGGGGTCTTTGGGCATTAATGAACCCACTTCTCACAGATGGTTGTGGAGAAGGGCTATGTCTTTGTGGAAGTATTGGAGAAGGCAAGGGGGATGCAATGGCAGAGGGATAGTGCTGTACCTGTGGGGAGGCCATCAAAACAGAGCGGCGAGACGGAGTTGGAGAAGGTTGCATGCGCCGCCCAGCAAGGGGAGACATACCCGCTTGCTTAATAATCATTGCAGTTGGAGTAGGGATCAAACCTGGGCTGTAAGCCTGTTGATGGGAATTCATCATTGGGTCTGTCAGCATTTGCTGCTAGAAAGAACACAAAAATGAAAAAAGCTTTAACTTCTTTAAACCTCAGGGAGCGTTATATAAATATTATTTTCTAAAATGATCCTATGTCGAATGCTCTGTCAACCATACTGTGGAAAAATTCTGTAAATTGGAACATCTGCTCCAGAATTACATGTCCAATCAATTATATATTACAGTGATATTGATTTGTTGAACATTGATGAGAGATCAGGACGTATGAATGTGTACATCTATATTATACACAAGACAGAAATTTCCTTTGTAGATTAATTTGAAAAGGATATCAAGACACCTATATTAAACAGTCAATAAAATGAATTAAATAACACATTTGTATGTAATTACTTCATTCATGTAAATATACAAATTTGAATAAGATGGTAATGCATTTTCTGAAAAAGGTTATCATTATCATCCATTTACAAGGATGTATATGACCTTGATCAATGTGATTACTATAAGCAGACTATGAAAATCTCTAACAATAGTGAAAACTGTATTAGGAGCATGCCCATTTTGATCTGCAGAAGTAGCAACAAATTGGCTGTTTATAAGTCAAATACAGCAGTTTAGTTATAGAATATACATGTATTCTGTTATAAAATGGAGTACTACTGTCACTCATGTTTTGCCCTACATTTTTAAATTTCCCAAACACAAAGCAAGTTCAGGGGAAGGTGCAAGTTTGCTCTCTTAAGTACATATTTAAATTTTTAGCATTTTCACATGCTCATCCAACATTACAACTGACTAAGGTTAAAAGTAGATTAAGTTTCCTTTCTGTAAATAATTGCTACTGAAGAGTCAGGTCCTGCAAATTCAATGATACAACAGAGCTAGAATTACCTGTGGTGGATTCATTTGTGGGGGAAAGGCCTGTTGCTGTGCCATCATCATCTGCTCCTGTGGTGACATCATTTGTTGTGATATTGTCTGTTGCTGTGGTGACATCATGGGCTGGTGCATCATTTGATGCTGTGGTAGCATCAATTGTTGCTGTTGGGACAGAGTCTGCAATGGCATAATTTGAGGGGACATACTCTGTTCTTCTTGTAACATCATCTGGTGCTGTGTTAACATATGTTGCTGTGGTGACATCTGTGGGGGAATCACCATTTGTTCATGTGGGAGAAACATAGTGTGTTGTTGAGAAGACATCATCATTTGTTGTTGAGGAGACATCATTTGTTGTTGTGGTGGCATACCCATCTGTTGATGTATTGACATTATATCCCCAAGTTGCCCTTGTGCAAGAGGAATCTGGTCTTCATACTGGATATCTGACATGTCTTCAAATTCTGGATCAGGTGGCAAAGTAGGTGGAGGAGGTAGGGGCACATCTAGACGCTCTTTCCCAAATAGGCGCACTTGAGGTCTAGGAACTCTAAAAGTCATCTCCCCTCCCTGAACTCCCCCAGTATCATCCCTAAATTGATCCAATTGGTCTGCAAACTGGTCCCCATATATGCCCTGTACCTGACCCATCCCTTGCACCCCAAAGCCAAACACCTGCTGCCCTCCTTGTGGGATTCCAATGGCCTGCTGTGAGCTGAAGTCTTGGTAAGGCATGCCAGCATCACTATACCCGAGTTGGTAGTCTGTTGGAAATCCTCCTTGCATTCCAGTAGTTTCTGTGTAAGGGTTCTCAAAATAACCTGTCTGTCCATTGTCATAATAACCCCCTTTTCCATCATAGTAAAGCCCTTGGCTGTTTGCGTCATAGTAACCCTGAGCATGAGGGTCAAGAAATCCATCATCCTCTCCTCCATACATATGGCCCGCACCCATCAGGGAATAGTAGTCCAGACCCTCAGCACCATACATGGCTTGCTGATGCTGGTAATCATAGTAATCTGCTTCCTGGTTGTTATAGTATACTTGGGCAGAGGTGTATGGGTCATGGTAGTCCCCCATGCCCTCATTGTAAAGACCACCTTCATAATATTCTGAATTTGGATCATAGAGTCCTTCTTCTTCGTAGTAACCCAGGTCTTGATAGTCCACTCCCCCTGCTACATTGTCATAGTAACCAAATTGACCCTGGCTTCCATATGCAGCAGTTGCCTCATCTACATAGCCACCATAGCCATCATTGTAGCCTCCATAACCTTGTTGTGATGAATGTCCCTGATCGTATCCATAAGCCTCCTCCCCATGCTCATAACCATTGTTATGATAACCCAAGCGATTACTTCTAGAGCTTGCTTGTCTTGTATGTGCCCTACGTCCACCCCAGCCATTGTGTCCCGCATTTCCTTTCATTTTAGTGGACAGGAAGCGCTTGGTCAGCCAGTTAGTTGCTGCTGCGACCTTACCCAACAACGCACTTCTGTTCTTGAAGTCGTCAGCCGGCTCATCACCATCCTTTTTCCTAAATAAGCCTTTAAAGAAGCCCCCCTTCTTCTCATTTGAGTCTCTTCTTCCTCCAAGACGTAGTAGCATATAGCTTGGCTTTTTCCCACCACTTGCTGCTGCCTTCTCTTTGGCCTCTTTCTCTTTTTTTATCTTTTTGCTGGCCTTGAATCTCATCATGAATCGAGAGGTGTTCTTTAGCATGGACTTGCGGCGTTTCTTCTTAGCAAGGCGGAACTTTCTCTTTCCCAGACCCAGAAACAAACGTGATGTACTTTTCAGCTTCTTCCTGCTGTTTCTTCGCCTCTTGAAGCCAGAAAACTTCATAAACATCCTGGACATGTTCTTAAGACCTTTCCTTGGAATTTCTTTAACTGGAATCTGTGGTACTTCCGCCTTCTTTTTGCCTTTCTTCTTTGCATCAGCATCATGCTTTCCTCCTTTATGGTGGTCTTTACCTTTCTTTTTGGATTTGCCATAATCCTCATCATAGTCATCCTCCTCCTCCTCTTCTTCATCTTCCTCCTCTTCGGAGTATCCCCCAGTTCTAGACTTCCCCCCTTTCCTTCCCTTAGCTCCTTTGCCCCTGACCCTTAGCTTTTCTGTCATCTTCTGAGTCTTCCTCTTCTTCTTCCTCTTCACTGAAATCGTCTTCTTCTTCCTCTTCATCACTCAGAAGCTCATCCTCTTCCTCCTCAGACTCAACTTTTTTCCCTTTCCCTTTGTCTTTTCCTTTTTTCTTATCATCTTTCCCCTTAGGTGGCTCCTCCTTTCCCTTCTTCCCTCCTTTCTTATCATCCTTTCCCCCTTTCTTGTCATCTTTTCCACCTTTCTTATCATCCTTGCCGGCTTTTTTGTCTTCTTTTCCTCCCTTTTTGTCATCTTTCCCTTTCTTCTCTTCCTCTTTCTTTTTATCTGGTTCAGGTTTTCCACCCTTCTTTGTGTCCTTCTTGGTGTCTTTCTTGCTAGGCATTTTAAAGAGTGGCTAGAAGTACACCATGAGCCCCCTTCGTGATGCAATGCTGTAAACATTCAAAAACCAGAAATACACAAATTTATGAAAGTCAATAATTGAGGGCTAGTTTATGTTAATCTCAATACTTTTTGATGAGATATGTTTTGAAAATATGACTGAGAGTCTGACCTTATTAAGTTTCCTTGGTTTAAATATACCTGGTATACCTTATGCTGGCACTATAGGTTGGTTCAGTATCTGTATGGGGACAGGTCCACCTGGCCAAAGCAGTTCCACACTGCTCAAGTCTGTTCCCCATGAAGGCACCTGTACAGACAAACACATCTCAAATTCAGCAAACTCTTACCCTAAACAAAAAGACATATACTGTACATACAAACACTTCCTTACACAGAATAAAATCCGGTAATCTGGAAGTAAGTAAACTTTCTACTTAGGTTATAACTCTATTTTACAGAGGCTTCACTGACTCTGTTTTAGCTGTCTATACAAATGCTTGGTTTACAAACATGAATCGTGAAATCATGAAACATTGGATTCACATAACTTTAGTCAAATTTTAAACTCCAAACCCTTCTGTAGAACTCAAAACACTACTCAGAGTTCCTGAACTATGTCTCTCAAAACCCTATCACATTTGTCAATAGTTGTATCAGTGTAAAGCTCTATTGTTAGCCTTAAGGTAAAAAGTTTAAATGTGACAGAGCCCGCTTTCTATAAGCATTAGTGTGCAGCACTAGCTCTATGATTAACCTTATCCTACTGTTGGTTTTACTAATTCCCACACAGTGTGATCCCTGAGGCATTCTGTAACACTACATACAATCATTAAAGCACACAAACAAAACATGCATTTATCATTACAACTAAAGCTCTACTCTCTATATAGTCCATCTTGTAGTTGCAGTAAAACACAAACTATTTTGGTATTATCAGCACACTTATTCATCAAGACAGCTTTCCATCATAGTCACCTCCTCATTTAATGACAAACAGTACAGAAGAGCAAGTGTAGTGGTTGCAAGAATCTCTGCAGTCTTCAATTCCTTTTTTTCCCTTGCAGGAGTTCTCTTCTTATGCAGGTTACAAAAAAGGGAAAAAGCAAACAAAAAAGACTCCAGAATAAAGTCTTTAGGTTCTTCCTTTGACCTACTCCGTCCTCTGTTTCTCACTACAACACATTCCCTCACTCAGCATAGCACTTTGTCCTCGCTGCCCTCCTCAAAGTGTGTTACAGATTGTGTATGTGTGTGTACTGTATGTGTGTGTGTGTGTGTGTGTGTGTGTGTGTGTGTGAGAGAGAGAGAGAGAGAGAGAGAGAGAGAGAGATTAAGTATGTGTGTGTGAGGGTGAAAGAGAGAAGGGCAAATGAACTGCACATTTGTGTGTGTGTGTGTGTGTGTGTGTGTGTGTGTGTGTGTGTATGTGTGTGTGTGTGTGTGTGTGTGTGTGTGTGTCTGTGAGCGTGTGTTTGCATGTGTGTAGTACATATGTGTAAGTTTCCGTGCATTTGAGGAGTACCTTGTGGCAGGTCGTAGAAGGAGTCTTAATTTGTCATCTGGCTCTACAAGTGAAACTAGAGAGCTCCAAGCGGCTGAGGGGGCGGGGCATAAATAATACAAAAGGTAGAGAGAGAGAGAGAAAGAAAGAGAGAGAAAGAAAGAGAGACAGACAGCGGATGCAGAAAATAAATGTGACTAGGTTACATGTCATCAATTCGATTAAATGTCCAATCTTTATCTACCTTTAATTTCTGCATAAATTATTTTTATAAAGTACGTATGCATTGGAAAAGTTTAATATGTTTAAAAATTGAATCTTACTCTTCTTTTTTCCAGAGTGACATATACTATAATGTATGAACGATGAAAGGTGACACATCATTCAAATATTATTTTGAAACAGCATCAGTGTCAGCATGAGCCAAAGCAAGCAGCCAGCAATCCAAATCCGCATACGTAACGTAAATAGAAGAAGTAGAGACAAAAGAAACACCCACCTGTTAGTTATGTCATGTCATGTCTTCGCTTAGGTATCAATAACAGAGTATTGACTCTCTCAACAAACACACGCTGCCAGTGAAGGATCGGTAACAGGGCTGTGATTATTAGTGCCATCAACCAAATTATTCCTCTTCCAGAAGGAAGGAGTCGGATTGCCAGATCTGTCCTGTTACAGGGTGTAGGTGTTGGGTTGCCAGATCCTGATCTTTTGATCTTAGTGTGTAAGTCTATCTGATCATTACCAAGCAGCTGAGAGTAAATGCAGTGTATGTTTGTGCAGGTATGCACAGTGTGTTTGGGCCGAGTTATAGTACGTCCATGGGTGCTTTAATAAGATGGGAAAAAAATGAAGAAAAGAGTGTATTTTGCAGGATTTCCTCTGATTTGTCTCTACTCTTACATCTGCCTTTGATGCAGAATAAAAAGAACCAATCAAACGTGAAAAGCTCTTCAGCTGCAGCCACTCTCACTCTCTCTCATCCCAAAGCAAAAGCTGCTGGCATGTGGTCCTCCGTCTTTTGATAGAATTTGTAGAGAAGAGAGACAACAAAGAGGAACTGGGATACATGCCCGGGGAGACACAAGCAGACTTATGATAAAGGTGGACTTGATGAAGCCCATCAAAATCATTTAGGCCCTGAGGGGGAGCCCTAGACCATCTTTGTCACTTTACACACACATTCTCATGCTCGAAAGCAGGCACACATGCACGCAGGCAGGCAGGCACGCACACACAAACACATACAGCAATTTGCTGCTATCTAGTGGACCAGTACTACACCTGCAGCACTCCTAAAAGTTAGAAGTTGGTTATCTCAGGTAACGTCTGCCTGTGGGAAGTGTAAAGCATGCATAACACAAAGCAAATACACTTTGAACACTTTTAACAGTGTATAATTATTCAGTGTAGCATTTGGTGAATGGTGTGAAGATCAGGTAGCTTGCATTTACCTTGCAAGACACAGGTAGAATAACCAAAGCTTGAAGGCCAACATAGCCTACGTCTGAACTGTTTGAGTGAGGAATGTGGAGGAAAAGGGGTGGGGTGCACCGACAAACCTTACCTTTCCTTCGGATCACCAAAACATGGGAGTTGCTCACGTCACCGAGGTTCCGTAGTCACGTTTCTCCATCCTCTTGTCGGTCAAAATTAAATGTGAGGACAAAAAAAAAAAACCCAAAAAAGACAACTCTAAACCAATTTCATTTGAAACTGTCTCTATCTTCACGGCCAACACAGTGTCTTATGTCTGCTGCTGCTTCAAACGCCGGGCAAAAAGCAGCATGGGTCGGTCAGGGTAAAGTGTGCCACGGGGAACGGAGAATGAATATTTAACGACCGCTATTCTGTGGTGACCGGCCGGGGGGCTTGAGTTCCTCACACTCCGGGGAGAAGTGATAAGCACCGCGGGTGGGCGATATCGGTTGTAGGCCTACACGGTGATATCTTTAACTGAGTAGTGGTAGCAAAAAAAACAAAAACAAAACAAAAACAAGCCGGTAAAAGAAGGATATATTGGAGACATAATAATTCACATGTTGACTTTAAGCCTTCACTTGTTTGTCTTGACGGTTTGAACATAAATTAGTTTGCGTTATAAGGAAAGTTTTTTTTTTTTTACAAAACTGGAAACGTCGTCGAAAAGCGGTTCCCCCTCCCTCAATACAATGAAAAATTAACTGAATTAATTGAATATGTTGAATAACTGATTAACTGCCTAATATAGGCTAAACGTAGTATAAAGGCCTACAACATTAAGTATTTGCTCTGACCTATATTTTAAAATATGTTAAAGATACTAACTAGGCTGTTTTCCCATCTTCATATAGGCTACTTAATGACATTCCGTGACACACGACCTGTTGAACCGAGCACGGCTACTTAAAAGCGATTTGATTGGTGGTTTGTATCGTCCAAAGTCCAATTGAAAATGTGGTGCAACCATAGACTGTAAATATTACAACTTGGTGCAACCTACCGAGTGATTACGTTAAATGCAATTCTTTTGAATACACTTGCCTGCAGGTTCGCCAAACACTGTAGTCACCGGGTTACTTTTGTTAAACGAGGAGCAATTATGTAAACAATCACAGTTTGCCGAATTCCAGTAATGAGAACGCTAGCGTGATTGTTTTGCCGATGAAGACGATGAGGATAACTTGCAGAAGATGACTGTCTGCACATGTTTCATTTAATAGTAAGAAAGCCTAACATAAGCTTCTGCCATGCGCTGTTTACGTCGGGCTAATGTACGAATATGCTTTAGCTGTGTAATAATAATAATAATAATAATATAAGCTCAACCATGAAAGCACCACAGTCATTGTTGCTGAACTGGAGTGTTTTTTTTATGTCCACAAAT